ATGATCACACGATGACGCCCCAGCCTGGGTGACGGGGTGAGACCCTGTCTCAAAAAAAGAAACTACTTTAGAAGTTGCTGACTGACAGAATAACAATGGTATAAGCATAGATCCTGTGCCAGTAGGGCATGGAGCTCAAGGAATACTGTCTTTTCTTCCACGTAGACTTGGAAAATCAGCCTGAAAGGGGACAAACAAATCAAGAGAATTTACATATTCCTACTGAAATAAAGTGATCACTAGGGGACAGTGGGGAAAGGAGGTATTTCAACATTTCAGTTTGCCTTGCTTTGCAACATTCCCGATTAAATTAGCATTAGGCAGACATTATACTGCTGGAAGAAACACTCATGGGACACTAATACTGCTTAGAAAGTGAATGCATTGCTTGATCAAAAACATATGCAATAATGAAGTTTCACAAACTCCTTTCCCTAAGATTTGTGTGTGTGTGTGTGTGTGTGTGTGTCTATTTAAAGACCAGAGATAGGCTCTTCATATTTAAATCGATTCTTGATTATTTACGCAAGCTAGGACTATCGAAGAAAAACATCTCAATCATCTGAGTTGACATGATGGAAAACAACCTGGCTCTCCAGGAGACCAGACTTTGACAGCACTGTCAGTAGAAGGACCACTGCTAGAGCAGAGGCAGCACGCCTACACGAAAAGTTTCCTAGAGCACTGGCTCACAGGCTATCTTCTGCCATCTCACAATGACAGCTGATGCTCATTTGCACAGTCTCTGGCAGCCTAGCCCTAACTCCACCTTTTCCACTCAGGAAATCTATCAGAATTTGAGTGAGAGGACTATAATGATAGGGATAACTTTGAATACATTAGAAAGGTAAGTCACAAACTAGTTACCAATTAGTTGTGGTACACCTGTCAACTCATTCTGATACTCTAGTGTGCTATTAAACCAGCATTCAGACATGCTGCTCTAGAGAGCAATGAGTGGTTTTTCAACTGAGTCAAGAGTCTATTGTTTACTAATATTGTTTAGAAGCAGAATTTTTTTCTCCTAATGAGTATTTCTTAGACCATTACTCCTGCTTTAAAGGAAATAAATCTGGCTCAAGTCAGAATGAGCAGTATCACTCTTGCACTCAAACAAACATGTCATGAAAGCAGCTTTTTATTAAAGTAGCATAATCCTCCTTAGTTCCTGGAGGGAATTACAGATTCCTAGAATAGAATGTTACAGCTGGAAAGGGCTTTAGAGTATCTAGGAAAATATCCATTTCATAAATGAGAAAATCTAGCCTAGAGAAGTAAAAAGACTCACCCTTGATTACAAAGCCAGTAACAGGCAGAGTCAGGAAGCGAACAAGGTCTCTTAAATTCTGAGGCAGTCTAGTACAAACTACACCATAATCTAGTAAGAAAGAAGAGGAATCGCAGATTGAAGGGACAGGAAATTGTGATCTTTAGGAAGTTCAAAGTGAAAATGATCAGAAGCTGACACGTGAAAGTAAAGAAAAAAGATGTGGCACTACTCAACAGCTAAAGAAGTGCTGCTGCCCGTGGGAGAAAACATAGGATTGAAAATAAGTATGAATAGGCGTGCAGTGGCTCACACCTGTAATCCCAGCACTTTGGGAGGCTGAGGCAGGTGCATCACAAAGTCAGGAGTTCGAACCCAACCTGGCCAATATGCTGAAACTCCATCTCTACTAAAAATACAAAAAAACTAGCCAGGCGTGGCGGCACATGCCTATAATTCCAGCTACTCAGGAGGCTGAGGCAGGAGAATTGCTTGAACCCGGGAGGCTGAGGTTAGAGTTAGCCAAGACCTTCCCACTGCACTCCAGCCTGGGTGACAGAGCGAGACTCCATCTCAAAAAAAAAAAAAGAAAAAAAAAGTATGAATAAATGCTGGACTTTCTGGCAAAATGCTGAGAAATTATGTTGAGTTTAGAACCCTTGAACAAGGACTTAAAAATAGGTATTTTTATTTAAGTGACTGAAATTATCTAGTGAGTAACATTGGATTTAGAGAGAACAGAACAGCTCATAACAAGGAAACCTGAAAACACAAAAAAGAATTACATTATATTAGAGTGTGAAGTTCTTCATTTACCTAAAGCTCTTTGCTATCGGAAATGCAAGAAAACTTTTTGGCTTAAATAATCACTTGTACAAAACAAAGACCACTCCAAGACTTGAATTTTGGGGCCTGGCGCAGTGGCTCATACCTGTAATCCCAGCACTTTGGGAGGCCAAGGCAGGTGGATCACTTGAGGTCAGGAGTTCGAGACCAGCCTGGCCAACATTGTGAAACCCTGTCTCTACTAAAAATACCAAAAAAAAAAAAAAAAAAAAAAAAAAGCCAGAAATGGTGGTGTGTCTGTAATCCCAGCTACGCAGGAGGCTGAGGGAAGAGAATTACTTGAACCTGGGAGGCAGAAGTTGCAGTGAGCCAAGATCATACCACTGGACTCCAGCCTGGGTAATAGACAGGTCCTCCATCTCAAATAATAACAATAATTTTTGCATGTTCTTCTACCCCCAAGAGCACTCTTTGCTTCTTAAGATACACTGCGCATTGGTAAAAGATTAAAAACAAATCAAACTCAGAAAAGAAGCAATCTTTGGTTTCCTGGTCAATGAAGCTTTGCTGAACAGAGATTCCCATTCAGAGAAAGCACAACGTGAACACAACTAGAAACAACTAAAACTCAGTGTGGTATTTCAATACTGTGTCGTAACAGTCAGACAACTGTCCAGCTGTTCTTTAAGACAGAAAACTCAGATTCTGACAATGAAGAAGATGGATGTGGCCCAGTGCAAAAGTTGGATGGACCAATTGTTTCCAGAAGATTTCTATTTGTAAATAACCTGAGTGATGAAGATTACAGGCTTATGAGTGATAACAATTTGCTAGGCACTATAGGTGAAAGTATAGAAGAGTTGCTGAGAAGGTTACAATAAATTAAAGAGGATTTCCCACAAGAATCAGATGAAAATAGAGGTGGATGATGTCTAGTACTAGTAGTGAGTCTGTAATAGAGTGACTTACCTCTTTTGGACAAACTCAAAATATGACAGGAAGTGCGCAAAGAGAAAACCAAGCTCAGACAGCAGTGAGCCAGAGTAATCCCTATAGTGGTAACTTCAGATTCAATGTAGAGATCAATTTTATCCTTAATAATAGAAGGCTATATTTTGTTATGCCAGCAAAAAGAAAAAAAAGGAAGGCTGAATAAAGAACATGAATATGCATCATCTGCAAGACTTCCCAGGGGAGAAAATAAGGAAAACAGCCAGAGGAAAGTGGAAAATCCACAATCTGAATCAACATTATCAAGGCCACTGAGGTGAGGTACAAAGTGCAACAGAAGTATTAATGGAAGTTCTACGTACCAGGGGTCAGAGGAGACTGAGAAGCAGGAGCCCAGACCAACAGAGAACCAGAGCAAGAACCGAAAGTAGGTTATCTCCAAATTCATGGTGAGAAATTTCACAAATATTTCATAATACACCATCTCAGACTTTTCAACAGCCCCTGGTACATCAGATTGAGAGGTTTTTAGAACTCAGCAACAAGAGACATTGAGGGAGCAAATAACTGACCCATAGTTGCGAAGTGGTCATCTTTTTGCAGCTTTTGGAACATGGAATGCCTTTCCAGGAGAATGTTCTCCAGACACAATCAGAAATGATAAATCTGGGGCACTCAGACTGAGAAATCCATAGTCCTGGCTGTCATAGCAGGAAGAGTTCATCATGGAGAACATTTGCCAAGATGTAGCATACCTAATATAACTCAGTTAATATCTCAAACACCAAACAACAGTCACTTTAGAAAGTGAACAAGGAGAGGCAGGTGTGAGAACTTATTTCAGTACCAACAGAATTCCTGTTCACAGAATTTCAAATATCCATTTAAATAATACACGTGTTGCAACTCAAAGAGCATTAAAGCAGATAATCACAAGATCTGCAGACTCAGATACGGACAGTGATAGTGACAGATACCCTAGTGGCTCACCCACATCAAAACATGGCAAGAGCAAGGTCACAAAATGAAAAAGATGGTTCTGCTATCAGCAACTGTTCTGGCTCCAATTCATGTCACAGTACTGCTTATGATTCCGACCTAAGTTCTGCAATCTTTAAATCAGCCTCCAGTTTTTTAAGCATTCATTATACATAAAGTATAATGTACTTTATTATACCTGATCTAACTCACTGGTTCCTGAAGGAATGACTGAACTTTCCTCAGTCAATTTCTGTCGCAGTAAAAAAGAGGGAAGGGAAAGGAGGGAGAGAAGGAAGAAATGAAGAATTTCCAAACAAGCTTTCCTTTAGGTGCATACAGCTGTGACAGGACTGCCAGGCTCAGAAAAAAACAAGCTTTTTTGTGTTAGAAAGGGAGTATCACTTAGCACTTTAAAACAGATGGCAAATGACCAGAAGTATGAACCTCTATGCATGAAGAAAATTGGTTAATTACACCAAGACTATGTATAAGTATATGCAATCACTAAGTAGCTGCCTCTACAGATACACTTCTTAGCAGGTAAATTTTTTAAACTTTTTATTTTTGAGAAAGGGCCTTGCTCTGTCATCCAGGCTGGGGTGCAGCAGCTTCACTGAGGCTGGGGTGCAGTGGCTTCACACAGCTCACTGCAGCCTTGATTTCCCGGGCTCAACGGACCGTCCTACCTCAGCCTCTGAGTAGCTAGGACTACAGCAGCATGCCACAATGGCCGGCTAATTTTTAAAATTTATTTTTTGCAGAGACAGGGTCTCACCATGTTGCCCGGCCTGGTCTCAAATTCCTGGCTTCAAGCAATCCTCCCACCTTAGCCTCTCAAAGTGCTGGGATTACAGGTGTGAGCCACAGTTTTTATATCTTAAATAAAGTTTTTAGATCTCACTAAATCAAATTATTTAAAATCTGTGATCTGAGAAGCTACCTGTCAATATTATAACTGGGTATTATATATAATTTGGGCATATCAAAAATATGTACATCGCAGCCAACACATATGGTCAATGAATACAAAAATGATTTATATATGCACATATATTTACAATGACATCCCTGGGCAATAGGGACAAAAAAAAATTCACAAGAATACAAAAACCTTTGACCTGGTACCAGTTGGTCAAGCCTGTGATTCTTGCCAAAGACCTTGAATATCAAAGCCCCAGTCTCATCTATCTGCCTGCAACCACTGAAGACTCGTGGGCACACTTCCCAGAAGGCTTCAAAGTTATTTTTGCTCCTTGGAAGGCAAAGTAGAACATCAAAGTAGTGATGTGATGTTTTCTCAGGATCATTCTGAAGACTAGGGCAATCCAGCATGTTAAGCAGCAATGTGACTCTTCCTGACAGATGCATACTGGAGCACATCCCCATGGAGCCATCAGGAAGCACATTTGTCCCATATCTTCCCTCTGCCAGTGCTGCACATTTTTGATGAGATGTACCCATTTCTGTCAGCTGTTACCGTTTCTTCATCAGGTATAAGACCAAACAATGCATGGCCCACCTTGGTGCAGTCAGATGCAATCATAAAGAAAGAGTAAAGCAAATGCTGACTTCGGAGTTTCTTCTGAACTCTGAGGTAGTAAATGCAAAATTAATTAATGAGTCTCTGCCCAGATTTCATCCTGAAGTGAGTTTCATGTGCCCTCACTACCATCTTGAATGTTCTGAGTCCTACTAAAATCAAAAGCATGATCCTGTAACCTGTGGCAGGACATGGGAGAAGCGGAACAGTCTGGATCCCGCCCTGCCTGGCCTTCATTTCGATGAAGCTGTGGTGACTCCTGAGCCGGCTGCTGGGAAAAGGGAGCATGAGGCAGGCCTAGTTCTCTGTTTATGGTCCACAGAGGCCGCTCCAGTGTTTCTGAGAATGAAAGACAAGAATTATCAGTAGGGACTAGTAAAACTTAATACCCTTTTAACCAAATCCTCAAAGAAATAAAGATGTTCAACATTCCTGAACAAGGGCACCAATACTATACACATACTTGCCATCTTCTTAGCCACAAAAAAAACAAACAAAACAAAAAACACCAGAACATGGTCTTTCAATTCCCTCTACTTCACAAACCTAACCAAATATTTACCGAGATCATACTAAGTATCATTTACTTTCACCTGTTATTTTAGTTCTGTAGCTACAAAATTTTTAAATAAAACTCTTTAGACACATGGAAAACAACTAAAAGACAAATGGTATCCATATTGTAATGAAAGTTTCACGATAGATAATAATCATTGATTCACTGCAGCCATTACATCTTTAAATATGTCACAAAACTATTTTAAAAATAAACAGTTTTTATTTTTGGAAGGGAAAAAATTCCCTTCCAAACAACAAATGATAGCCAAAAGAAGCTATATTAAATCAGATCATCGGCACACTGATTTCAAACATGCATTTCTCATTCTTCTTTACCACAATGGTGATCTATTTTCCCAAAGACTGTTTACTGAAAGTTATATTAAATTCATAGGGTGCATTTTGGAAAAAGCTAGCCAAACATTATAAAAACAAATACCCAGAAATAAAAATAAAATCCATGTGAAAAGTAAGCTAGAGCAGGCAGGGTTTCTCAAGTTTTAATATGTACACAAATAACTTGAGGATCTTGTTAAAATGAGGACTCTGATTTGCTAGGTCTGCGCTGGAATCATGACTCTGCATTTCTAACAAGCTCTTAGGTAATGGTGGTGCTAACAGTCTATAGACCGGACTTTTAGTAAGAAGAAGCTAGAATACCCTATGTAAAGAATGGCCAATGTGCCAAAGCATTCTCATTTGCTGATTTCCTTACTTACGAACCAGATTAAAAATAAATCCCCAAAGTTAGAAAAAAGATGGACTACATTTCTGGTCCCTCTTAAACCCTTTTTGTTTTAACTCTGCTAAGACATCGAATAGTGAAAGTGGATCTACTGTTGGTGCATTTCTTCTATGAACACTTAATGTAAAGATAAGAGACTAACTTCAGGCCGGGTGCAGCGGCTGATGTCTGTAATCCCAACACTTTCGGAGGTCGAGGTGGGGGGATCACCTAAGGTCAGGAGTTCTAGACGAGCCTGACCAATATGGACAAACCCTGACTCTACTAAAAACACAAAATTAGTCATGCGTGGTGGCACATGCCTGTAATCCCAGCTACTCAGGAGGCTGAGGCAGAAGAATCACTTGAACCCGGGAGGCGGAGGTTCCAGTGAGCCAAGATCATCCCACTGCACTCCAGCCTGGGCAACAAGAGCAGAACTCCATCTCAAAAAAAAAAAAAGAGAGAGAGAGACTAACTTCAATAATAGTGCTTTCCTCTGACCTCTAACTTCTTTAGAAGTCATTAATTTCTTAAAAACAACACAGGCTGGGTGCAGTGGCTCATGTCTGTATCTCAACACTTGGAGGCCAAGGTGGGTGGATCACTTGAGGTCAGTCAGGAGTTCAAGACCAGCCTGGCCAACATGGTGAAACCCCGTCTCTACTTAAAAAAAAAAAAAAAAAAAAAAAAAATTAGCCAGGCATGGTGGTGGGCACCGGTAATCCCAGCTACTTGGGAGGCTGAGGCAGGAGAATCGCTTGAACCTGGGAGGTGGAGGTTGCAGTGAGCCGAGATCATGCCACTACACTCCAGCCTGGGCGACAGAGCGAGACTGTCTTAACAAACAAACAAACAAAAACAAAAAACAAAGCATACCTTAGGTAATTTCCAAGGATGGTTCTGGCAGGATTAAATGATCTAATGTGGGACATAAAGTACTAAATCCAAAATTAACTAATAAATCACTGCCCAGATTTCATTCTGGGCAAAATTAATAAATCGCTGCCCAGAAGTGAGTTTCATGTGTCCTCACTACCATCTTGAATGTTCCAAGTCCTCCTAAAACCGAAAGCAGGATCCTGTAACCTGTGGGACATTAGATCATTTACTCCTGCCAGAACCATCCCCAAGAGTGTAACTGTATGCTTTGTCTTCCTCTTTAAACCTAGAGTTCTCACCTCCTACACTATGTCCAGTGCTCTTCCATGTCAGGCTGACAGGAAGATGAAAGCTGATGAAATGCTTGGTGGACAGGAAGACATGCTTAACATTACCCTTCATGATCTAGAAAGAGTTTTGTCTCAAATGGCAAGTGGTTATCAAATGCCTAATCTACACAATATAATGTATATTTCTTTTCCTGGGCCCTGTGGAAGAGAGGACACAAGCCCAAAACTGCAGTCTCACTTATGATCTTGATCATACCTCATAGAAGAAAACACCCACCAAGTGAAGCTGAGATTAAATGTTTACCTGCTAGAACAGCAACCAAACAAAACATTTAAAAATCTTCTCAGCCAGGTGTGGTGGCTCATGCCTGTAATCCCAGCACTTTGGAAGGCTGAGGTGGGTGGATCATGAGGTCAGGAGTTTGAGACCAGCCTAGCAAACATAGTGAAACCCTGTCCCTACTTAAAAAATTCAACAAATTAGTTGGGCATGGAAGCACGCGCCTGTCATCCCACCTACTCTGGAGGCTAAGGGAGGCTAAGGCAGGAAAATCACTTGAACCTGAGAGGTGGAGGCTGCAGTGAGCTGAGATCATGCCATTGCACTCCAGCCTGGGTAACAGGGCAAGACTCCATCTCAAAAAAAAAAAAAAATTCTTCTCAGTAGGCCAGGCACGGTGGCTCACGCCTGTAATCCCAGCACTTTGGGAGGCTGAGGTTGGCAGATCACCTGAGGTAGGGAGTTTGAAACCAGCTGGACCAACATGGAGAAACCCTACTAAAAAAACAAAATTAGCTGGATGTAGTCGCGCATGCCTCTAATCCCAGCTACTTGGGAGGCTGAGGTAGGAGAATTGCTTGAACCCAGAAGGTGGAGGTTGCAATGAGCCAAGATCGCACCATTGCACTCCAGCCTGGGCAACAAGAGCAAAACTCTGTCTCAAAAAAAAAAATCTTTTCAGTAAAAACTTTCACCAAATTATGCCCAAATTTTACTAGTATTATTTTGAGACAGAGTCTTGCTCTGTTGCCCAGACTAGAGTACGGTGGCATGATTTCAGCTCACTGCAACCTCCATCTCTTGAGCTTAAGAGATTCTCGTGCCTCAGCTTCCCAAGTAGCTGGGACTACAGGCGTGCACCATCATGTCTGGCTAATTTTTATATTTTTAGTAGAGATGGGGTTTCACTATGTTGGCCAGGCTGGTCTCAAACTCCTGACCTCAAATGATCCACCTGCTTTGGCCTCCCAAAGTGCTGAGATTACAAGTGTAAGCCACCATGCCAGGCCCCCCAAATTTTATTCCTTATTTAAATAAAGATAGGAGAAAAATTATTAATATCCTATATGAGACCGGATGCAGTGGCTCACACCTATAATCCCAGCACTTTGGGAGGCCAAAGCAGGGCAGATCACATGAGGTCAGGAGTTCATGACCAGCCTGGCCAAAATGGTGAAACCCCATTTCTACTAAAAATACAAAAATTAACTGGGTGTGGTGGCACATGCCTGTAGCCACAGCTTTTCAGGAGGCTGAGGTACGAGAATCGCTTGAACTCAGGAGGTAGAGGTTGCAGTAAGCAGAGATTGTGGCCACTGCATTCCAGACTGGACAACACAGTGAGACTATCTCCAAAAAAAAAAAAAAAAAAAAGATAAAATAACCAAATGAAACCTTTTAAGAGCTTTTTTTTTACCCTTTTTTTTTTTTTTTTTTTTTTTTTTTTTGGGAGATGGAGTCTCGCTCTGTCACCCAGGCTAGAGTGCAATGGCACAATCTCGGCTCACTGCAACCACCACCTCCTGGATTCTCCTGCCTCAGCCTCCCAAGTAGCTGGGATTATAGGTGCCCACCACCATGCCCAGCTAATTTTTGTAGTTTTAGCAGAGATAGGGCTTCACAATATTGGCCAGGCTGCTCACAAACTCCTGACCTCATGATCCGCCCACCTTGACCTCCCAAAGTGCTGGGACTGCAGGCATGAGCCACCGCACTGGGCCTAAAAGCTCATTATGTGTGGCCTCTGATTTTTCAGTAGTGTGATCTTGTTACCCCTCCCACAAAAGTTATTTCCATCCTATAGATGAAGACTTCTTTGTAACTCTAATATGTAGAAATCTCCAGTTAGAGTTTACACTATTTAACAATGTCCAGTTACTCCTATATACCAAGCTGTTTGCTTCCTGTCAAATGAGAGCACTACCTATATGATAGAAGGAAGAGTCAATTAGATGAAAGTAAAAACAAAATAACAACAACAAAAATGCATCCCTTACCACTGCTCAGCTGTGTGGAGGAAAGTTTCTTCTCATTTATCCTCTCATGGTTGGTGGGAAAGGCAGATGGCTCTCTGTCGGCTGATGATATCAGGCTCTCTAGGGCAGTAGTATCCTGGGGAGGATGTGCTAAATATGTGTCTTTAGGCATCTGGACCATGAGGCTGGACAGTGTCTGATCAAGAACATCCTCCTCAGCAATATATGTGTATGGACAGTATTCTCGGGTCCTGGAGTAGATGTTGGCATTGTCATAACAATCTGAGCAGATCACCCGGGTACTAGTGCCACCTAATAACAAGGAAAATAATCTAAATATCTTTCTGTTAAGGAATTATTTTTTGCCAATCATCAGTTTTCTTTTTTTTTTTTTTTTCTTGAGACAGAGTTTCGCTCTTGTTACCCAGGCTGGAGTGCAATGGCGTGATCTCAGCTCACCGCAACCTCCGCCTCCTGGGTTCAAGCAATTCTCCTGCCTCAGCCTCCCTAGTAGCTGGGACTACAGGCATGCACCACCATGCCCAGCTAATTTTTGTATTTTTAGTAGAGACGGGGTTTCACCATGTTGACCAGGATGGTCTCGATCTCTTGACCTCGTGATCCACCTGCCCCGGCCTCCCAAAGTGCTGGGATTACAGGCTTGAGCCACCGCGCCCGGCCCAATCATCAGTTTTCTTCAACAGTTGTCATCATCACTGCTAGCATGTATCAGGCACTTACTTCATAAAGTAGGTGAAGTTTCAAGCTCTTTCTATGAATCGGTTCATTATTATCCCCACTTTACAGACAGGGTAAACTACAGCACAGAGAAGTTAAGTAACTTAACCAAAGTCATACTACCAGAGGAGGAGCAGAAATAGGCATTCTGGCTCCAGAGCCCATGCTCTTGAAAATTACACTGAACCATCTCTGTCTATCATAGATAATGTCCAAATCAAGGGAGCAAGAAAAGACTGGTATTGTGCCACATCCTTGGGTTAAGCAAACAAAATCAGAGAATAAAGAGTTATGACTTCAGTTTATGAAAACCCATGTTACTTTCATCAGTCAAGAGGTTAAATAACACCAATTGCTACAGGTATCCCTAAAAAAAGCTTCTAAAAATGAAGAGTCTTGCCTTACAAGTACATGATAGACAGAAGTACAGGTTTAACAATAAGCTCCCTGGATCATTAAGTTCTTTGAAAACTGAATTATGAAGGAGAGAAGAGTGAGAAATAAAGAGTGAGTTACTTATTCAAAATCATGCAACAGGCCAAGAGCAGTGGCTCACGCCGGTAATCCCAGCATTATGGGAGGCCAAGGCAGGTGGATCACCTGAGGTCCTGAGTTTGAGACCAGCCTGGCCAACATGGTGAAACCCTGTCTCTACTAAAAATACAAAAATTAGCCAGGCATGGTGGTGGGTGCCTATAATCCCAGCTACTTGGGAGGCTGAGGCAGGAGAATGCAGGAGGCAAAGGTTACAGTGAGCTGAGATCACACCATTCCACTCCAGCCTGGGCAACAAGAGTGAAATTCTGTCTCAAAAAACACAAGACAAAAAAATCACACAACAGAATATAAGAACTGGAAGAGAGTGAAAAGTAATTTAGTTTAACCCTGAAAGCAGTGTTATTTCTCACATATTTCAAAGAACAGACTTTTAAGTATTCTCTTAGGTCAGAAATACTGGCCAGGCACAGTGGCTCATGCCTGTAATCCCAGCACTTTGGGAGGCTGAGGTGGGCAGATCACGAGGTCAGGAGTTCGAGACCAGCCTGACCAACACAGTGAAACACCATCCCTTCTAAAAATACAAAAATTAGCCAGGTGTGATGGCACACTCCTGTAATACCAGCTACTAAGGAGGCTGAGGCAGGAGAATCACTTAAACCTGGGAGGTGGAGGCTGCAGTGAGCCGAGATCGCAACACTGAACTCTGGACTGGGCAATTGAGACAGAGAGATTGTCTCAAAAAAAAAAAAAAAAAAAAAAAAAAGAGTCAGAAATACCATATTTTCCATGCAAAGGCAAAATAAAATCCAATTTATCAATTAGATAAAGAAGTTCCATTGACACCCAGCCTAAAACAGTCTCTGAAGAAAATGGAATAAATCTTTCACTTGTATGGTATTTTAAGTACCACACAGATTTGTTGAAAGGATCTGTGAGAATCTTGCAGGAAGTGCTTTACAAATTATTGGTTTTTTTTTTTTTTTTTTTTTTTTTTTAGACGGAGTTTCGCTCTTGTTACCCAGGCTGGAGTGCAATGGCGCGATCTCGGCTCACCGCAACCTCCGCCTCCTGGGTTCAGGCAATTCTCCTGCCTCAGCCTCCTGAGTAGCTGGGATTACAGGCACGCACCACCATGCCCAGCTAATTTTTTTGTATTTTTAGTAGAGACGGGGTTTCACCATGTTGACCAGGATGGTCTCGATCTCTTGACCTCGTGATCCACCCGCCTCGGCCTCCCAATGTGCTGGGATTACAGGCTTGAGCCACCGCGCCCGGCCAAATTATTGGTTTTTTTAATTTAAAAATTAGAAAAGAAAGCCAGGCCTGGTGGCTCACACCTATAATCCCAGCACTTTGGGAGACCAAGGCGAGCAGATCACAAGGTCAGGAGATCGAGACCATCCTGGCCAACATGGCGAAACTCCAACTCTACTAAAAATGTAAAATTTAGCTGGGCGTGGTGGCACATGCCTGTAGTCCCAGCTGCGCAGGACGCCAAGGCAGGAGAATCACTTGAACCCGGGAGGCAGAGGTTGCAGTGAGCCGAGATCGCACCTCTGCCTGACGACAGAGCGAGACTCCATCTCAAAAAAAAAAAGAAAAGTAAAGCTCAGATCTTAAATAACTAGTTCATGGTCACAGAGCTGGAAAGAGGAAGAACTATCAATCAAACGCAATTCTCTGTCCCTTAATTCATTCCGTTCTGTCATCGGAGCGAGGGCATGAAAAGGGTGGAGGGAGAAGAGCTAGTGTATGGATATGAATCTCGCATGTTGAGATGTCAGGTTCATTTAATTAGGGAACACTTTACATCTTGCCGATGTTCTCCAGTATATGCTGAGAACCATCGCTACCCTTTGTTGATTTTTTTTCGAGATGGGGAGTCTCACTATGTTGTCCAGGCTGGAGCGCAGTGGCACATTCATAGGTGCGCTCACAGCACAATACAGCTTTGAACTCCTGGCTTCAAGCGATCCTTCTGCTTCAGCCTCATGAGTAAATGGGACTACAGATGTGCCACCATACCTGGCTCCTAGCTACCCTTTAAACTTTACTGAATGTCTACTAGTCAGGAAGAGAAACCAGCGTTCCTTGAATGTGGTCTGAAGGATGCCCACGCCTGAAAAGGGTGAGACAGAGATACCTAAAAAAGGTTTCCAGAACATCACTTTCCCATAATTACACAAGTTTGGGAGCCTCTGCTGTGTACTCTGACCCCTTGTTTAATGTGTTTCTCCACTCTGTAAGGTGATTTTCTTCTCCTAAGACTTTAGTCGTCAATTTTCATTGTATTTTGCATGTGGTTAAATGTTTTCATTGGGTATCTTTAAAATATTGCTTCAGATTAATAGAGAAACTACAGACTGAAAAATAAACTCAATAGAACAGGCTGAAATTGTAACCATAAACAAGAGTCGTTACCATCACTGCCTTTGTGTAGATATCCATTGGTAGGAGGCATAAGTTGCTGATGACTTCCTGCCTCAGAGTTGCTATAGCCTTCCTGTGGCTCAGACAGCGTTCCTTGGGAAGACAAGTAGCTAGGAATATCTGCAGGCAGGTTGAGCTCCTCTGTAAAAGAGACATCTTTAACTCTCAAAGGCAGGCAGTTGAAGCCAACATTCAGAAGACTATTTTGCAAATATGTTCACTTTGATACCATTGGCCAGAAAAACTGTATGTACCTAGGACACCAACAGCTCTTGGTACTTCCCCTAAAACTATTTCTCACTAGAATTCTTCTCAAAGCTTCACTTTAGAAGTTTCACAGAAAGAAACAAAACCTAAAAGTTTAAATCTTATCTATAGCCACAGTTTCACAGTCTGTCTGACTAGATTGCTTCTCTTGCAGGATTTCTGGGTGAGAGGTATAAAAAATTGACCTCAATGATCCAGCTTGATATTCAAAGAAAAGAAGAGAGCCTAATCTCAATCACAAGGGCTCCACTCTTCCTTACAGCAAAATTATGATGAAAGGAGCCTCAGACATTAAAGAGAATGCATCTGTAATGCACTTTTAAGAGTAAAGTTTTAGGGTAGTATTTATAAATTCTTAAAATTGGTAAGACACGGTGGCTCATGCCTGTAATCCCATCACTTTAGGAGGCTAAGGCAGACAAATTGCTTGAGCCCAGGAGTTTAAAGCCAGCTTGGACAACATGGCAAAACCCAACTCCACTAAAAATATAAAAAATTAGTCAGGCACAGTGGCATATGCCTACAATCCCTGCTTCTCAGAAGGACAAGATGGGAGAATCTGAGCTTGGGAAGTCAAGGCTGTAGTGAGTCATGAATGCACCAATACACTCTGACCTGGGCGACAGAGTAACACCTACCTCAAATAAACAAAATTCTTTCCTCAAGGAGGTTCTGTTATGAACCTATTCCTCAAAGAGTTACTGTTATATCAAAGTTGAACATTTTAACAACAACAAAAACTCCCTTCTATCACATTATTAGGTAATGTATCACAGCTCTTCAGTTTTCTGAGGAGAAGATGAGGCCTTACTAGGTTGGTTGGCTGGCCTTGAACTCCTGGGCTCAAGCAGTCCTCCCACCTCATCCTCAAGTAACTAGGACTACAGGCATGTACTACTACGACCAGCTCAGTTTTCTGTATTGTACAATTAATCCTATACTACATTATCGATTCAAATACAAGCCATAGGTGTCATCTGGGTACTACTCACCTGTGTTTGTGATACTATAGTCTTCATTTTTCCTTCTCATGTGGTAAATAACAATGACCCAGATCAAAGAGGTACCCACAACACAGCAGACCACAACAATGATGACAATGCCAACTGTGGTCCAGCCATCATCTTCATGCCCAATGCTACTCTGGGAAGAGTCACAATTGGGGGATGAAATGACGTTTAGGTAAATGTGGCCACGTTCTGTCCCAAGGGTGTTAGACATAATGCAGGTATACTTCCCAGCATCATCTAGCCCAGCATCTACAATGATGAGAAGCTGATTGGCTGCAGCAAAGAAGTGTCGTTCTGTCACCAGCAAAGGTCCATCATCTTTGGTCCAGTTGAGGCGAGGGGCGGGACTCCCTCCAGCTATGCACTGTAACACTGCAGTTTCACCTCGAGTTACTGTCTTATCCTCCAGGGGTCTAATAAATGAGGGTGTCTCTAACAGGAAAATGTTAAAAAAAAAAAAAAAAAGGAAAGGAAAGAAAAGTTAGGCAATTTTATTCCCTAATTCCTACTGAATTAGACCAATGAGGGCATAATAAAATGAGTAAGTTTATATACTAATGGGAGGATTAGAGGTTAATGTTTCAGAACAAAATCCCAAAAAAAGCCTAAATCTTTTCTCAGTAATTCCAGCTTAGGCAAGCAATCGTAAGTAAGAAGTTCAGGGCAGCTGCAATAGCTAGAGAAGGTCAGCAGGGGTGACCCATTAAAAAAGGTTAGTAATATCAATTCAAGTATAACCTTAAAAAAAAAAAAAAAAGGTTAAAAATAACTTTAAAGGCTAGTCAAGGTGGTTCACGCCTGTAATCCCAGCACTTTGGGTGACCGAGGTGGGCGGATCATAAGTCAGAAGTTCAAGACCAGCCTGGCCAACATGGTGAAACTCCCATCGCTACTAAAAAAAATACACAAAATTAGCTGGGCATGGTAGTCAGTGCCTATAATCCCAGCTACTTGGGAGGCTGAGGCAGGAGAATCGCTCGAACCTGGGAGGCAGAGTTTGCAGTGAGCCAAGATTGCGACATTGCACTCCATCCTAGGCAACAAGAGGGAAACTCCATCTCAAAATAATAATAATAATAATAACAGCTTAAAAGAAATTCAAAGGTTTATATGCAAAGATGTTTATTACAAAATTTGTTGTATTTTAAAGAATAAAGAAAAATATTTTAAAATCTAGCAGAAAAAATGATTAAGTAAATTATAGTATAGTCACATGATGTTTTACAAAGACTTTATTTAATGACAGGGTAACTTGTGGTACAATATTAAATGAAAAAAATGTAGGTCTATTTAGCTACCTACATAAATCAAGCTATTTTGGAAAAGCTTTTGCAGGAAAGAAAAAGATTTTCAGGGAAGAGTCTGAATAAATACGTTAAAATCCTTAAATGTTTTTTAAAAAAACACTGACATCTAGGAAATTAGAGAACTAGAAAGTAGAATCTGCATTGGATTTGATTTTCATGAATAGTATTCTAAATAAGGAAGAAAAAACAAAACAAACAACAACAACAACAACAACAACAAAAAAACCCAGGCTAGCCAGGGGAAGCGTTTAGAGAAAAAAAAGCATCTTACCAGAAATATGGTTAAGAAGAACACACTGAAAAGGAAAGCAGAAACTCTAACCAGGAAACAGGTCTTTTTTGAGACAGAGTCTCACTCTGTTGCCCAGGCTGGAGTGCAGTGGCGTGATCTCAGCTCACTGCAACTTTTGCTTCCCAGGTTCAAGCGATTCTCCTGCCTCAGCCTTCTGAGTAGCTGGGACTACAGTTTAGTAGAAATGGGGTTTCACCGTGTTAGCCAGGATGGTCTCCATCTCCTGACCTCATGATCCACCCACCTTGGCCTCCCAAAGTGCTGGGATTACAGGCATAAGCCACCGGGCCCGGCCCTTTTTTTTTTTTTTGTATTAAAATTTTTTTTGAAAATGAATGAGAAGCAAACAGTTAAATTGTCTTAGGTTTCTATCAAGCAATAAGTGAAGCAGTATCAAATGGCTGGGATACTCCTAAAAGAACAGTGGAATTCCCAATGCAAACTCACTGAATAGTAAAAACACCTACATGAAACAGAAACCTTACAGAGACTTAAAAAGATAAGATGATAATGGAATTTGAACTTTCAATTATGTGCTATAGATGGCTACCTAATTTTGCCCTATGTATTTTCCCACATTTCAGTTTTCTGACTCCCTAATTCCTAGACTGACATAACCCTACGTAAAATTGTGAAATAAAATAAAGATCTAAGAATCATAGAGGTACTCTCAAACTTATTTTTCTTGCTCATTCAGACCAAGAGTAGCTCCCAAAGAATCCAACAAAAGCGGGGACCCATGGAGCAGTAAACGTACCTAACACTGTTAGTGAGGCATTTGCTGAGAGACCTCCTGCTATATTTCGTGCCATGCAGCTATAGATTCCCATGTCTTCTATTTTCACATTGGCGATAAAGAAGACATCATCTTCTGGCATGACGTGCATGCGCCTTTCTCGAGCTGCAGGAAAGTCAGTACCACCATCTTTCTGCCAGGAAATCTGAGGTGCAGGGTGTCCTTCTGCGGCACATTCTAATCTGGCCATGGCACCAGTGCGAATAGTCAGATCCATTGGTGTTTTCAGAAAAGATGGCATCTCTGTTTCCAGAAAGATCACCAAGAAAAAGTGGACAGGGGAACAAAGACACATATATGCATACAAATAGGCATCAAAGAGTCTAGTAGGCAGATAACCCTGTAATGTTCCATTTCTCTAGATTGACAGTGAATATAGTTTTATAAAAAACAAACCAAAACTTTAGAGATAGGGTCTTGCTCTGCTGTCCAGGCGGGAGAACAGTGGCGCAATCATAGCTCACTGCAGCTTCAAATTCCTGGCCTCAAGCTATCCTCCCACTTTGGGTTCCCAAAGTGCTGGGACTACAAGCCTGAGCCACAGCACCTCACCAAGAGTGAATATGGTTTTGAGGCCATGTTTTCTTCCAGAACCTCAGAGTATTTGGAGCACACTGATGACTGTCTCTTCTAGGATGCATGATACATTTAATCATCAGCTGAAACTAGGGAAAGTAGAAGGCCACAAATCTTCTTGAATGTTATATTTCAGAACCTGGTATTTATTATGACTCCCTCACTTATGAAGCTAAATGATGCTTCCCTGGGAGGCTGAGGCAGGAGAATCGCTTAAACCCAGGAGGCGGAGGTTGCAGTGATCATGCCACTGCACTCCAGCCTGGGTGACAGAGGGAGACTCTGCCTCAAAAAAAAAAAAAAAAAAAAAATCATGCTTCCCAAACCAACATCTACAAAGCTATCGAGGAAACTGCATACTAAAAAAAATACTTATGCCATCAAAAGTGTCATTTAAAAACACAGAAGTAAAACATAAGTACATCTTTTGGTTGCACAAAGCCTAAAATATTGGAGTTATTCAACTTGATAGGCAATAGATAAATTAATGTATTCTGGAGAAGCTTTTGCAGGAAAGAGGAGTATTCATTTTTAAAATGATCCCGTGTGGAGTGGAAAACCAAACACCGTATGTTCTCACTTATAGGTGAGAGCTAAGTATGAGTACACAAAGGCATACAGAGTGGAATAATGGACTTTAGAGATGCCAAATGGAGAGGGTGAGAGGAGGCTAAAAAAACTACACTTTAGATACAACATACACTACTTGGTGATGCGTGCACTAAATACTCAGAATTCACCACTATAATTCATCCATGGGAAACAAACCCACCTGTACCCCAAAAACTACTGAAATAAGGCCGGGTGCAGTGGCTCACACCTGTAATCCCAACACTTTGGGAGGCCACGGTGGGTAGATCACCTGAGCTCAAGAGTTTGAGACCAGCCTGGCCAACACAGTAAAACCCTGTCTCTACTAAAAATACAAAAATTAGGTTAGCATGGTGGCGCACATCTGTAATTCCAGCTACTTGGAATAATTCCAGCTACTTGGAATTACAAGAGATAGGAGAATAACTTGAACCTGGGAGGCAGAAGTTGCAATGAGCCAGGATCACACCACTGCACTCCATCCTGGGTGACAAAGCAAGACTCAAAGTCTCAAAAAAAAGAAAAAAAGAGAGTAAGAAATAAAAATACACACACACACACACACACACACACACACACACACATGATCCTGTGTAACTGCATTCAGATAATGATAATGACCATTAGACCCAAAAATGTCCTAAATATTGCCAGTTATTAGAAGGCCCATGAGAAATAAATTTCAGTTTTCAAGAGAGATTTATGGTTCTAGAATAAAAACTGAGAATTTCATAAGACTGTCTCCAAAAGCATAAACAACAGTGAAAAGTAGCACATCTCCTAGGACCATAGCATTTACGCTTCAACCAAAAACCAATTAGAAAACGTAAGTACGCAGAACAACTAATTGAAAAATCCCATCCGTTTGATACATTATCACAACTCAAAAGGTAACAACAGTAAGAGTCCCACTTGAATGTCACGTTTAACCTAATTCTGTCAAGTGATTCAAAACCGAACACAAAAAATTCTTCTAAACTTAAAAAAAAAAAAAAAAGGAGCATAATTCCTTACCATTTACAGTCAGTTTGGCTTTCTGAGAATAATTAGAACCAAAGTGATTAGTAACAATACACTGATATTTTCCTTCATCTGTGAAATTCACATTGAAAAGATGTAAGATACTAGTATATTCCAGAGCTTCTCCAGCCTGTTGCCGATAACGAACGAAATTCTCAATATCCACGTCATACAGGATTTCACTGTCTTTGCGCCACACAGTGGACATGGGTGAATCACTGCTGCTCACTGCAGTGCACGTCAGAGTCACATTCATGCCTCTTAGAGCATCTACGGTTTCAGGATGTGTCCTTATCTGTGGCTTGAGAAAATCATCTAAGGGGGAAAAAATGCATCAGTAGCCACGTCAGTTATTTATTTTTGCTTCTTTAGATTCAATTTTAAAACAAATACTATAAAATTGTGTGTCTGTTTACAAAGTGGCTTACTAAGGTTGAAAGAGACTACAGAGCTAGAGTCCAATTCCCTTGTTTAAAGATGGGGGAAATGAGGCCCAGAAAATTAAAAGTGACTTGCTCAAAGACACGTCAGTCAGTGGCAAAGCCTAGACTGGAACTCAGGTTTCCTGACTTCAGGATCCAGCACTTTTCTACTACCACTTACTGTCACCTGTGTGCTTAGAATGTATTTCTCATGCATTATCAGTTATTGGGGAAAAACAGAAACCTTGTATTAGGATTTCAAGACAGTTCTACTTCTGTTATCCCTTGTATATATGTATGTGATAGATAAAACATGTATATAACCATTATTCTTTCTGTGCCAATATAAAATGGAGAGATTATAAATTATTTATATTTAACAGAGAATACCTATGAATAAAACAGATTATTTGAAAGCATTTTGTATGTACACAGGTTTCACTTAAAAGTAGTGAAAAATCCCAAACACGTCAATTGTCCAACGGAAGATTGGCTCAGGACTGGCTAATAAAATTTATATCCATAATTTTTTTTTTTTTTTTGATACAGAGTCTGGCTCTGTCGTCCTGGCTGAAGTGCAGTGTCACGATCTTGGCTCACTGCAACCTTCGCCTACCGGGTTCAAGCAATTCTCTGCCTGAGCCTCCTGAGTAACTGAGATTACAGGTGCCCACCACCACGCCCAGCTAATTTTTTTGGCACTTTTAGTAGAAATAGGGTTTCACCATCTTGGCCAGGCTGGTCTTGAACTCCTGACCTCGTGATCCACCCTCCTCGGCTACCCAAAGTGCTTATATTATAGGTGTGAGCAACCATGTCCAGCCTAGATTCATAATTAATGTTATTGGACTGATTCAGAGAAGCAGGTATATAAATTATTTTTTGTTTTTTGTTCTTCTTGTTGAGACAGAGTTTCGCTCTTGTTGCCCAGTCTGCAGTGTGATGGTGCGATCTCTGCTCACCACAACCTCTGCCTCTGGGGTTCAAATGATTCTCCTGCCTCAGCCTCCTGAATAGCTGGGATCACAGGCATGCACCACCAACCACATCAGGCTAATTTTGTGTTTTTAGGCCGGGCGCAGTAGTTCATGCCTGTAATCCCAGCACTTTGGGAAGCCGAGGCGGGCAGATCACAAGCTCAGGAGTTCAGGACCAGTCTGGTCAACATAGTGAAACCCCGTCTCTACTAAAAATACAAAAAATTAGCCGGTGTGGTGGTGTGCAACTGCAGTCCCACCTACTTGGGGGACTGAGGCAGGAGAACTGCGGGAACCCGGGAGACAGAGGATGTAGTGAGCCGAGATCACGCCATTGCATTCCAGTCTGGGAAACAGTGTGAGACTCCACCTCAAAAAAAAAAAAAAAAAAAAAAAAAATTGTATTTTTAGTAAAGACAGAGTTTCTCCATGCTGGTCAGGCTGGTCTCGAATTCCCAAGCTCAGGTGATCTGCCCGCCTTGGCCTCCCAAAGGGCTGGGATTACAGGTGTGAGCCACTGTACCTGGCCTGGTATATAAATTCTTTTTTTTTTTTTTTTTTGAGACGGAGTTTCGCTCTTGTTACCCAGTGCAATGGCGCAATATCGGCTCACCGCAACCTCCGCCTCCTGGGTTCAGGCAATTCTCCTGCCTCAGCCTCCTGAGTAGCTGGGATTACAGGCACGCGCCACCATGTCCAGCTAATTTTTTGTATTTTTAGTAGAGACGGAGTTTCACCATGTTGACCAGGATGGTCTCGATCTCTTGACCTCATGATCCACCCACCTTGGCCTCCCAAAGTGCTGGGATTACAGGCTTGAGCCACCGCGCCCGGCAGTATATAAATTCTTAACTGGATATATACCACATAAATATATTTATATACCAGCCTGGTATATAAATATCTCCACTAGATAAACTTTCATTGTGCCATAAAAGCAGTAAGTGGAAGAGGAGGAAAAAATATACAGTATGTCTTTAAAACTAAGTAAAAAGCACGTCAGTAGAATTTAACCTTTACTAGATTCTGTTTTCTTTAAAATTTGTAAAAACAATGGATGTATTTTATGAGCCTGAACTTCCAAGTGTTTTAAGCATCTTTAAGTACATTGTGAAAACAGATTTGGCAATATACAGGTCATCAAACGATCAGAGACACTAGGAATATGCTATACAGATACACTGATCTAAAAGGTCTACTACTTAAAGCTAAAAATCAGTCATTCCACTTTAAAGAACATTTTTTTGGTTGTTTTTGAGATGGAGTCTCACTGCCACCCAGACTAGAGTGCAGTGGCACGATCTTGCCTCACTGCAACCTCTGCCTTCCAATTAAAGCAATTCTTCTGCCTCAGCCTCCCAAGAAGGTGAGATTACAGGCACGTGCCACCATGCCTGGCTAACTTTTATATTTTTAATAGAGTTGGGGTTTCACCATGTTGGCCAGGCTGGACTCAAAATCCTGATCCCAAGTGACCTGCCCTCCTCGACCTCCCAAAGTGCTGGAATTACAGGTGTGAACCACCATGCCCAGCCTAAAGGAAATATAAGTGTAAAGGAAAATTTTCTAAGTTGAGTAAGAACAATATAGAAGTATACTTGAAATTGGCTCGGCACAGTGGCTCACACCTATAATCCCAGCACTGTGGGAGGCCACAGCAGGCAGATTACCTGAGGTCAGGAGTTCAAGACCAGCCTGGCCAACATGGCAAAACCCTGTCTCTACTACAAATACAAAAATAGGCCAGGTGCGTTGGCTTATGCCTGTAATCACAGTACTTTGGGAGGCCGAGGTGGGTGGATCACCTGAGGTCGGGAGTTAAGAGACCAGCCTGACGAATGCGGAGAAATCCCATCTCTACTAAAAACACAAAATTAGCCAGGCACGGTGGCGCATGCCTGTAATCCCAGCTATTCAAGAGGCTGAGGCAGGAAAATTGCTTGAACACAGGAGGCAGAGGTTGTGGTGAGCTGAGATCAGGCCACTGCACTGCAGCCTAGGCAACAAAAGCAAAAGTCCATCTTAAAAAAAAAAAAAAAAAAAAAAAAATTAGCCAGGTGTGGTGGCACACACCTGTAATCCCAGCTACTCAGGAGGCTGAGACAGGAAAAGACCTTGAACCCAGGAAGCAGAAGTTGCAGTGAGCCAAGATCAGACCACTGCACTCCAGCCTGAGTAACACAGCAAGACTTCATCTCAAAAAAATAAAATAAAAAGTATACTTGAAATTTTAAGTGCTAGAATCAGGACAACTTGCCTATGACTCTCTCTTCTCAAGGAAAAAAAAAAAAAACTCTGCCACTTTAATGTTATAAAACTGCATAAAAAATATGAACCACACAGAATCAGTATATTCCTAAGTTGATGGTGACAACTTTAAACTAGTGCTATCTTTTTGGAAAGTACCTGGTGGCACTTTTCAAGATCTACTAAAAATGTTCATGTAAAAAAAACTCATATTGGTTGATTCAGGATTCTAACTACCAAATACTTATCCTAAGGTTAACAATTCCCCTAAAAGAGAAAAGCCTTCATTCATTAAAATACCTGTGATCATTTTTAATGACAATTAAAACTGTAAGATGACAAAAATTGCTAGTGGAAAACCACTTCGGTTTAATTTTTTAATTCTGTTAAGATAATAAAAATTTAAAACAAAATACAAACCACAGACAAAATCTTTCAGATCCACATTCAGGATGCTTTGCCCTGCTAGCCATTCAGGGTGTGCACAGCTTACATTCACAGAATGCTGAAAGTTATTATCAACCAGCCATTGAAGCAGCCACTTCAAATGGCAGTCACAGAGCAAACTGCTTGTGTTCAGAATCCTGCAAGAAAGAAAAGAGGAAAAGCGTCCTTTCTTTTACTTTTCATTCTAAACGTCTTCAGTATTAAAACCTTACCATAGGCCAGACACGGTGGCTCATCCCCTGTAATTTCAGCACTTTGGAAGGCCAAGGCGGGAAGATCACCTGAGGGCAGGAGTTCGAGAACAGTCTGACCAACGTGAAGAAACCAAGTCTCTATTAAAAATACAAAAATTAGCCAGGCGTGGTGGTGTATTCCCAAAATCCCAGCTACTTGGGAGGCTGAGGCAGGAGAATTGCTTGAAGCCAGGAGGCAGAAATTGCAGTAAACTGAGATTGCGCCATTGCACTCCAGCCTGGGCAACAAAAGCAAAACTCTGTCTCAAAAAAAAAGACCTTACCACACACCTATCCATTGTTCCTGTCAAAAACATTTAACATAAATCTCATCATGAGAAAACAGAGACTGTCAGCTGCAATTCTTTAAATATATCAAATCTCATGAAAGACACTAAAAAAAGGCAGGAACAAGGAGAACAAGGATCTATTTTGAAGATGACCAAAGAGTCATTACAATCAGATGAAATATGTGATTCTTGATTTTAAAAAAAAATCATCTACGAAGGACTTTTATTTTAACATTGGGGAAATCTGAGTATGGGCCATGTATTAGTTAATATTATCAATATTAATTTCTTTGGGTATGATAATGGTTATAACTTCATTAGAAAATGTATTTGTTCTTAAAAAATGCATGCTGGAAAAAAATTTTAAAAAAATGCATGCTGGGATATTTAGGCATGAAGTGTCATCATGGCTGCAACTATTAAATGGTCAGCAAAAAAAACCTGTGTGTGTGTGTGTGTGTGTGTGTGTGTGTGTGTGTGTGTACGTGGAGAGAGAGCAAAAGCTAAAATGAGAGAAGAGGAGGAAGGGAAATAGATAACAAATTTAGCAAGCTAACAATTGGTGAATCTAGATAAAGGGTATATGGTATTAACTGTACCCTCCTTTAAATTTTTTGGGTTTAAATATTTTCCCACAAAAGTATGGAGAAACACTTACTACATATATTGGAGCATTGAGAGATCTTTGTTGTAGACAACATGTATTTTCAAATAATTGCGTCGAGACTAAAAACACTTCAGCACTAGGCTGGGCATGGGGGCTCATACCTGTAATCCCAGCACTTTAGGAGGCTGAGGTGGGCGGATTACCTGAGGTCAGAAGTTTGAGACCAGCCTGGCCAACATGGTAAACCGCCGTCTTTACTAACAATAGAAAAATTAGCTGGGCGTGGTGGCAGGTCCCTGTAATCCCAACCACTTGGGAGGCTGACGTGGGAGAATCGCTTGAACCCAGGAGGCAGAGGCTGCAGTGAGCCAAGACCACACCACTGCACTCCAGCCTGGGCAACAGAGTTACTCTGTCTAAAAAACAGAAAAACTTCAGCACTATAATAATGTGTAATGCAATCTAAACTTAAGAACACTGAAAAAGTACTTGTGGTTTATACGCCTATAGAACATATCTGAAAAATCGCTATTTTCTCTCAATGACCCTTTAAATGTCCCATCCACTTAGGAGGGAAAGTAAATGATTTTGAGAACTTGCTTTATGTGGAGGATCAAATCCTCATCGAGTTTTAATGTTTGGCATAAAGAATCTGATTCCACAAAAGTTTCAATTTCTAAAAATGAGAAAATTAACTTACATTGTTTCAAACTGACTTATATTGTCACTGAACAAGAGGAGGCACTGGCAAAGATTATAATGCTTTTATAATGCTGTAACAAGTTTCACTGAGTAATTTTTCCTAACAGTTGGTTTGAACAAACTGCTATTGCAGGAACTTTAATGCAACTGTGTTTTGAGACAGGAATTCGCTGTGTTGCCCAGACTGGTCTCCCTGGACTCAGGGGATCCTCTCACCTGAGCCTCCTGAGTATCTGGGAGGTATGGTATGCTCATATCTAGTATGAGCTACCATGCCTGGCTCTAATGCAGCTTTTTCATTGAGAATTGTTGGTTGCTTCTGATTTCTTTTTTTTTTTTTTTTTTTGAGATGGAGTCTTGCTCTGTCTCCCAGGCTGGGGTACAGTGGATTGATCTCTGCTCATGGCAACTCCACCTCCTGGGTTCAAGTGATTCTCCTGCCTCAGCCTCCCAAGTAGCTGGGACTACATGTGCGTGCTACCACGTCTGAGTAATTTCTCGTATTTTCAGAAGAGATGGGGTTTCACCGTGTTAGCTGGGGTCGTCTCCTTCTCCTGACCTCATGATCCACCCGCCTCAGCCTCCCAAAGTGCTGGGATTACAGGTGTGAGCCAACATACCCGGCTGCTTTTGGTTACTTTAAATGTCCTATTTGTAATACTTTTTGGGTCAACATTTATTAAAATCTCCTTTGTACTTTTTGATATTCCTCATAGGGCTTTGCATCAATAATAGGAGCTGTATGAAAAAGCTGCATATAAATTTTAAAATATTTTTCATTAAAATTATATAATTATAGTAGAAAATTAGAAAGTACCGTTAAACCAAGAGGGAGAGAAAGCCCTCCAAATCCTCACTACTCAAAGACAACCACTAGTAATATTTTAGTATGCTGTAATCTATCTACATACTTCTTGAGAGAATACCGTATACTGTGTTAAGTACCTGTGGTCAGGGTTGGTTAGTATGTGAAGAACAGAAAGAAATAAAAGAAACAGAAGTGATGGTAGCTATTGTGAATTAAGCGCTGTCTGTGGCCAGACATTGTGTTAAAAACCTTTTTTTTTTTTTTTTTGAGATGAAGTCTCACTCTGTCACCTAGGCCAGAGTATACTGACAGCACAATCTCGGCTCAGTGCAGCCTCAGCCCCCCAGGTTCAAGCAATTCTCATGCCTCAGTCTCCCAAGTAGCTGGGATTACAGGCATGTACCACCATGCCCAGCTAATTTTTGCATTTTTAACAGAGATGGGGTTTCCCCATGTTGGCCAGGTTGGTCTCAAACTCCTGACCTCAAGTAATCCACCTGCCTTGGCCTCCCAAAGTGCTAGGGTTACAGGCATAAGCCACTGCGCCTGGCCTAAATACTTTACTTAAAAAATTTTTTTAAGGTAGGCATTTTCCTTTTTTTTGAGACCGAATCTCACTCTGTCACCCAGGCTGGAGTGCAGTGGCACAATCTTGGCTCACCACAACCTCCTAGGTTCAAGTGATTCTCGTACCTCAGCCTCCTGAGTAGCTGGGACTACAGGCACACACCACCATGCCCGGCCAATTTTTGTATTTTTAGTAGAGATGAGGTTTCTTCATATTGGCCAGGCTAGTCTCAAACTCCTGACTTTGTGATCCACCTGCCCCAGCCTTCCAAAGTGCTGGGATTACAGGTGTGAGCCACCACACCCAGTTGAGCTAGGTATTTTCTTTTGTGAGACAGAGTCTCACACTTTCACCCAGGCTGGAGTGCAGTGACATAATCTTGGCTCACTGCAACCTCCACCTCCTGGGTTCAAGCGAATTCTCCTGACTCAGCCTCCCAAGCAGCTGGGACTACCGGCGCTGCCACTACATCCAGCTAATTTTTGTATTTTTAATAGAGATGGGGTTTCACCACGTTGGCCAGACTGATCTCGAACCCCTGACCTTGTGATCCACCCACCTCGGCCTCCCAAAGTGCTGGGATTACAGGTGTGAGCCACCATGCCCGGCCAATGAGGTATGCATTAATTTTCAATTCCATTTTCTAGAAATGGAAACTGAGATTTTTTTTTTTTTTTTTTTTGTCTTTCCAAAGAAGAAACTAAGATTTTAGAGGCATTCAGTATCATGTCTAAATAAATAGTAGAGTTAGGATATGAGCCCAAGTCTTATGAATCCAGCTTATATTACACCTAAGAAAACATAAATTGGATGAGGTCACTCTTCTTTTCAAAAGATACAAAAATTAACTGGGCACGGTGCTGGGCGCCAGTAATCCCAACTACTCTAGGAGGCTGAGGCAGGAGAACTGCTTAAACTCGGGAGGCTGAGGTTGCAGTGAGCTAAGATCGTGCCACTGCACTCCAGCCTGGGTGACAGAGGGAGACTCTATCTCAAAAAAAAAAAAAAAAAAAAAAGACTTTTCTTTTGCCTGATGTGTAATTTATGGAGGCTGAAGAGACAGCTAGGGGCTATTTGGGTATCTCCAAAGCCCATCTGAGTGTAGATAAAATGCTTAGTCTATTTCCAATTATTCTTTTTCCTGTTCAACCTCAAGTCATTACTTCTGGGAGTCCCTGAGTCCCCCTGAGAGATCCCAAGGAAGGGTAGGGGGCCTAAAGTCCAAGTGACTAAGAGTCCAGAGTGGGAAGGAAAAAGTCTAGCGGTGGGTGGACAGATGGATGGAGGATACAAGGATTTGAAGGGAGTCATATCAAAGGGCTCAAGGGAACCAGAGGGAACATTAAAGGTGGTAAGAGGAGGAAAAAGGAGCAGTAGCAATGGGAGGAAAGAGAGCTTACAGGATCCAGTCTGGGGAGATGTTAAGTATCCCAAAGAGGCCAATAAAGGTCCAACGAGGAGGAGATGGACAGAACAAGTGGTAGAGCAATATAGTAAGCAGGGGTTCAAAAAGAGGGGATTCAGATGCCAGAGAAGTTGCTATGAGAGAAGAAGGATCCATTAGAGAACAGAGTAGCCGCACAGAGTTCCAAGGACTTTTAGTCCAGGGAATCAGGAAATAAACCCCACTCCGGAAAGAGAGCCAGGAAGAAGCCTTCAAGCCCAGGAGGCCTTTCAAAAGAAGTCTGGCCTCTACCCCAACTTCAGAGAATATATTCACAATCTTGAGAATCAAAATCTTTCCTTACCAGCTTCAATGGATGTTTGTCCAGAGCAATGGTTCATTAGTCTGACTCACCATTGGATCCCCGATCTATCAGTCAGGAGTGAAGACAAAGGCTTCAAAGGTGCACACCTGGAGTCCTGGGTGAGAGGTCCGGGGGTCCAATGATGAATCTGATCCTATCGGAGTCACAGCACCACAGCTGTTAAATAAAAAATTACTTAGTGATTCTTGTTAAAGCATGGTAAGGTAGACTTTATTCAGGATCATCTCAATAGATACAGGGACCATGGCAATGTGATATTGCAGCTGGGGCGAGAGACTGGGCTCAACTCAGTGAGGGAGAGACAGTAGGGAAACAGCATGGGCAGGTATAGTCAAGGAGCAAGGTGTGTTTGCTTTCATGCCTTTCAGTGGATGTGAAATTACTAAGAAATAACATCCAGAGTAGTGGGGCTCTAGCTAAACCCTAACAGGATTCTTGATGAAGACAGGCCAGGGTGATCAGACCTCACCCAGGGATGATCTACAATGAGGAAGGGTTCTTGCTAAAGTGGTTTTACAGGGTTTGTGCTAAAATTGGATTTTACACAGTTAGGCCTAGGAGGTTTAAGGGCTTGCCTAAAGTTTGGTTACACACAGAATCTTTGTCACAACTCCCAAATTACTAAATGACTCTCTGAAGATTGAAACTACAATATTTGCTTTTCCCTACTATTTAAATTTGATATTAAGCTGAGTTCTCATAACAACAGTTAAAACTTTCTTGCTGGCCCTCAGGTTATCACCGGCAAAAAAAAAAAAAAAAAAAAAAAAGGGTCGGGGGAGACAGACTGATTTATAGTAAGTTACAACTTATAATTAAACTAAGCCTAAGAGAAATAACTCAAAATATCTCAACAGATCAAAAAATCCACTTAAAAATCTGACAGAAAATAACTAATGATGATTTTCATAACATTTTAATTTTTGTTGTTAATATTATTCAACTTCTTCTACTCTGTGCCAAGATCTGTGCTGAGCATTTTCTCAAAACCTTCCAGTTTCCAAGTACATTTAAGAAAGCAAAAATCTGAATTCCTAATCGTTTATTATAATCTGCCTCCTAACTCTCTCTTTAAAAAAAAAAAAAAAAAAGGAATATAATTTTATTGTTGGACCTATTAGAACTGTAAATTCCATATGCTTTTCAATAACAAAAAAGGTGCCCAGTGCAGTGGCTCACACCCGTAATCCCAGCACTCTGGGAGGCTAAGGCGGGTGTATCACGTGAGGTCAGGCATTCGAGACCAGCCTGGCCAATGTGGTAAAACCCCGTCTCTACTAAAAATACAAAAATCAGCTGGGCGTCGTGGTGGTAGCCTGTAATCCCAGCTACTGGGGAGGCTGAGACAAGAGAATCGCTTGAACCTGGAAGGCAGTGGTTGCAGTGAGCCAAGATGGCACCACTGCACTCCAGCCCAGGTGACAGAGCGAGATTCAGTCTCAAAAAGGTAAGTTAGAACAAAGCAGTTTGGGATTTAAAAAAAAAATCTCTTGAAATTGTTTTCTCTGGAACAAATAAAGAGAACAACTAATGAGAAATAATATGATTAATATCAAAAAAGTTGTAGCTATTTAATTAGTCTACTCTGTTTAACTCTCTCATCTCATTTTACTTGCCAGTCCTTGCTCCTGGGAAGCTATTCACTCAGTGTTCACATGGTGTGCCATTTCATTAAGGTCGTGGTTCAAATGCTGTATCTTCAGAAGACTTTCCCCTCATTACATTATCTAAAATAGCAATCCCCATCACTCTCCACACCTTTGACCTAGGTTTATTTTTCTTTAGAACGAGTTACCTGATGAGATATTATATATCTACTGGTCTATTATTTATCTTCCTCACTAGTATTGTAATATGCTATGAGTACAGAGACTCTCTTGTTCACCACTGTTTTCGGCATCCAAAAGAGTACCCGACATAGCAGATGATGAATAAATATCTGAGTAAACAAGTTATCTCATTTTATCTTCACATAACCCTGAGGGAGGTGCTATTCCCATTCTGGGAACAGAAACTGAGTCTTAGGCTAAACAATTTGCCACTATCACACAGTTGCAAGGAATGGAGGAAGGATTTGAACCCCAGGCAGTTTGAAAACTCACAAATTTCCAGTGCATATCAAATTTATCCATGGTAATGACCAGTCTTTTAAATTTCCAACCCACTACAGACCAGTGCTTTTATAAATTACAACAAAGTGTCACAGTAATGTCAAATTGTTCTAAAAGTTTCTCAATGCTTATTCAGCATTTCTATCCTTATCTCGTCATCAACCAATTCTGTTCCACAGAGTATCCTTTGAGTAGCTTCCCAGGCAAGGCAAAATAATTTCTATAGTCTAGTGGTTCTTAACCCTAACTGCATATCTGAATCAACAGAGTTTAAAAATATTATCAGGGCGAGCACGGTGGCTCATGCCTATAAACCCAGCACTTTGGGAGGCTGAGGCAGGCAGATCACCTGAGGTCAGACATTCAAGACCAGCCTGGCCAACAAGGCAAAATCCTGTCTCTACTAAAAAACACAAAAATTAATCGGGCATGGTGGCAGGCACCTGAAATCCCAGCTATTAGGGAGGCTGAGGCAGGAGAATCGCTTGAACCTAGGAGGCAGAGGTTGCAATAAGCCGAGATCACGCTACTGCACTCCAGCCTGGGAGATAGAGCAAGACTCTGTCTCCAAAAAAACAAAAAAAAATAATAATACATACCAATGGCCAGCTAACCCCAATTGCTAAACGAGTAACAGCAATTTTTTTTTTGAGACGGGGTCTCACTCTGTTGCCGGAGTACAATGGTGCGCTTTCAGCTCACCGCAACCTCCGCCTCCCGGTTTGAAGCAATTCTCCCGCCTCAGCCTCCCAAGTAGCTAGGATTATAGGTACACACCACCATGCCCAGCTTATTTTTGTATTTTTAAGTAGAGATGGGGTTTCACCATGTTGGTCAGGCTGGTCTGAAACCCCTGACCGCATGATCTGCCCGCCTCATCCTCCCAAAGTGCTGGGATTACAAGCGTGAGCCGCCGTGCCCGGCTATAACAGCAATTTTTAAAACTCATGAATGAAAAAGGGTATAAAATGATACATACACACACATTTGTCTATTATGACATTTTAGTACTTTGAATAGGTTAGAGACATCTTCTCTGACAATTACACTGTTAAATCACCTCGGAAACTATAAAACAAAATCACCTAATACCTTTACTGTAACCCACACAAGGTGTTAAGAACTGGTAACACGTTTCTGATAATCCAAAAAGGAACAGTAGGGTATACATAAAGCACAGGAGCAGTGCTAAGGTCTCCTAATTATAAGCATTGGTAGAACAGGCAAAACAGCATGTCTTGGTGCCACACAGTCTGAGCTTTTCAATGTTGGGTATTTTAAAATTACCTCCAGCCACTAAAATAACTGAGTATTAATACTTTCTTTTTTCCTGCCTGAACTGTGGTGCTTTTGGACATAACTTGGGTCACTCCCATCACACCTTAAACACAACAAGCAGGAACACTGATCCAACTGGTGATTTTAAAAAGACAAGTTACTTACAGTTCTTTCAAATGAGTCTGAGAAAAAGCATTTTCTTGGATAGACATTATAGCATTATTGTTCAAATCTCTGAAATAAAGAGAAATGAAACATTATTAGTCACCATTCTACAGTCAAGTTACATAAACACTTTACATGATCATGAAAACCGCTGCTAATAGCAAAGATTTTTACAGAGTAAGAAAAATATATGCAAAATACTTACAGATGCTCCAGGGAGTCAAGACCAATGAATGCTTTCTTTGTAATTGACTTAATCTGGTTTCCTTGTAAGATTCTGAAATATAAACAGATCTTTCTAAGAAAACTCTCCACTAAACAAAATTAAATTCATTAAACATTTAGTTATAAAAAGTGAAAATAAGCTTAATGTGCTTTTTTGTATATTTAACAGCTTTACTAGGGTACAAATGATATATAAAAAATTACACATATTTAATGTGTACAATTTAATGAGAACATGCATTTTCTAGAAAGTTATAAAATTTAATTATTTATCAATGCAAAACATAGCATAAAGTCATCTATCAAGATGTTAGAGCTCAACGAGGTACCTATGAACAACCATCCTGACCACTGATAAACTGATAATTTTCAGACGCTAAATTTGATTATATCCCTCATGTCTTCCTTCTTAACAAAAGATTGTCAGAACAAAGAAATTAAGATAAGTGTGACTCTTTGGATAAACTCTTCTCATGGGAGAAGATCTAAAATCTTATGTAAGAGAATTCTCTACTTCTGCTAGATAAATTACTCATAAATCTAATACAATTAAACAAATTACAAATTAAACAGATTACTGGCCAGATGCAGTGACTCACGCCTGTAATACCAGCACTTTGGGAGACCAAGGCAGGCAGATCACAAGGTCAGAAATTTGAAACCAGACTGACCAACATGGTGAAACCCCAACTCTACCAAAAATACAAAAACCAGCCTGGTGTGGTGTCATGCGCCTATAATCCCAGCTACTAAGAAGGCTGAGGCAGGAGAATCTCTTGAACCCAGGACACAGAGGTTGCAGTACTTCCGAGAGTACACCACTACACTCCAGCCTGGGCAACAGAGCAAGACTCCATCTCAAAAACAAAACAAAACAAAACAAAAACATATACTAATAAGAGATTATTCTACTTTCTCAATGCATTCCTATTACTTGAATAGAAATTCTACTTCCATAAATAATTTCTCTTTAAGTGTCCATAGGAATGCTTTTTCAACAAAAAGTTCCCCAACAACAACAAAAAACAAAAAAACAAAAAAAACTAGCTGGGCATGGTGGCCCATGTCTATAATCCCAGCACCTTAGGAGGCCAAAGTGGGAAGGTCACTTGAGCCCAGGCAACACCAGCCTGCACAACATAGTGAGACTCCGTCTCTACAAAAACAAAATTTTTTTTAATTAGTTGGGCATCGTGATATATACACTTTTAGTCCTAGCTACTTAAGAGGCCAAGGCAGAAGATCACTTGAGCCCAGGAAGTGAGGCTGTTGTGAGCTGTGATCACAGCACTCCCGCCTGGGTGACAGAGCGAGACCCTGTCTGAAAAAAAAAAAAAAAAAAACCCAGCTGAGCGTGGTGGCTCACTCCTGTAATCCCAGCACTTTGCAAGGACAAGGCAGGCAGATCACGAGGTCAGAGTTCAAGACCAGCCTGTACAACATGGTGAAACCTGGTCTCTACTAAAAATACAAAAATTGCCGGGCGCGGTGGCTCAAGCTTGTAATCCCAGCACTTTGGGAGGCCGAGGCGGGTGGATCACGAGGTCGAGAGATCGAGACCATCCTGGTCAACATGGTGAAACCCCGTCTCTACTAAAAATACAAAAAATTAGCTGGGCATGGTGGCGTGTGCCTGTAATCCCAGCTACTCAGGAGGCTGAGGCAGGAGAATTGCCTGAACCCAGGAGGCGGAGGTTGCGGTGAGCCGACATCGCGCCACTGCACTCCAGCCTGGGTAACAAGAGCGAAACTCCGTCTCAAAAAAAAAAATACAAAAATTAGCTGGGCATAGTGGCACATGCCTGTAATCCTAGCTACTCGGGAAGCTAAGGCAGGAGAATTGCTTGAACCGGGACCTGGGAGGTGGAGGTTGCAGTGAGCCAAGATCTTGCCACTGCACTCCAGCATGGGATGAGGAGTGAGACTCCGTCTCAAAAAAACAAAAAAAAACCCACAAAGCTCCCAGAGTATCAGAAAGCTCAAACTTTCTAGCCATATCAAATAAACACAATTCAATGATGTTTACAGCTGGTTCTTGAAAATATACCTTTGTAGACACAATACATACAATTTAGTGAGACTTGTGAGTCCAGCAAAAGCTTCGCTAGCATCTTCTATGGCCCATGAAATTTCATTGTTTCTTAAGTCTCTACAGAAATGTCAGAGAAAGACAGCTTATGTTAGTCAACACAACCATCGAAACATTGAGTAGCATCCTGGCATGGTGATGTCAAGGTGTACATGCTAATTCTGATCCTTACTTTAACAGTTATTTATGATGAAGGCTCAACTCTGCTTCTCTGCTTCTTAAGGAGTATCTGTAATAAACATCTAAGAACTGATTCTTTTTTTTTTTTTTTTGAGAGTTTCGCTATTGTAACACAGGCTGGAGTACAATGGCGCAATCTTGGCTCACTGCAATCTCTGCCTCAAGGGTTCAAGCAATTCTCCTGCCTCAATCTCCTGGGATTACAGGCAGATGCCACAATGCCCAGTTAATTTTTGTATTTTTAGCAGAGACAGGGTTTCACCATGTTGGTCAGGCTGGTTTCGAACTCCCGACCTCAGGTGATCCGCCTGCCTCGGCCTCCCAAAGTGCTGGGATTACAGGCATGAGCCACCATACCTGGCCAAGAACTGATTCTTATAAGCTAAGAACTAAGCTGGCATTGATAAAGCAACCTGCTAAAAGTACTACTCTTCCAAGCTAACAGCCCCTCATTATGTTAGCATACTAAAAATTACAGGGTGCAGTGGCTCATGCCTGTGGTCCTGGCACTTTGGAAGGCAGAGGCAGGAGGATCACAAGGTCGGGAATTCGAAACCCCTTGTCTACTAAAAATACAAAAAATTAGCCAGGCATGGTGGCGCACACCTGTGATCCCAGCTGCTCTAGAGCAGGCGTCCCCAGACTGCGGCCCACGGGCCGCATGCGGCCCCCTGAGGCCATTTATCCAGCCCCCTGCCGCACTTCAGGAAGGGGCACCTCTTTCATTGGTGGTCAGTGAGAGGAGCACAGTATGTGGCGGCCCTCCAACGGTCTGAGGGACAGTGAACTGGCCCCCTGTGTAAAAAGTTTGGGGACGCCTGAGAGGGTGAGGCAGGAGAACTGCTTGCACCCAGGAAGCGGAGGTTGCAGTGAGCAGTGATCACACCATTGCACTCCTGCCTGGTGACAGAGCAAGACTCCATCTCAAAAAAAAAAAAAAAAAAAATTATAGACAGGGTCCTGAGAAGAGCAGGAGGCTTTCAAAATGCAGGATATATGTCTCATAAATCTGATTTCAGACTAATGGGATTTCTGGGTGACCCAAACCTTCCCCTGGGACCTTAAATTTACAATGGCTGACAAAGAGTACTATCAATACAGAGCTTCACTCTCGAGAGCAATTAAAGATGCCCCATGGGAAGCAAAAATGATATACTCATGTGTTAGAGTGTCATCAGATTTTCTCTAAAAGTATGGATCTTCTAAAATTCACTGTTTCATTCTCAGAGGATATGTAATTGTTCCACATCATGTTGCGATAGAATAATTATTTCCATAGAATTAAAAATATTTAATCACTGTTGCTTCCTTAAGTCATCTCATAATAAAATAAAGCACAAAGCTTTCTACTTTATAAGGCACATGTAGAGTTGTGTGATCAGCAGTAAAGAGGAGATCCCTCTTTTCAATTAGCTATCTTTAAGCAAAAAGCTAATAAAGCTCATTTTATTCTATTAAGGAATAAATAATGAAAGAACCAATGGCTCAACTCTTCATGACTTTCCCCCTCCTCCACAGCACAGCATAAACAGAAAACATTCAACAAATTAAGAACTATATCTATCCTGGCAAAAGGTTAAAGCCAGAATTTCCCAGATTTGATCCTAACTCTGCCTTAACAATCTCTGTGGCATTACACAACCATTTACTTCTGCTTTTTACTTTCCTAAACTTTAATTCTAAAAGTAAAAATCAGTGGTATATTCAAATAACCTGTTTGCCATCCCTTCAACTGCCAAAAGGCTGCAGCTGCATCTAAGTTTCTGCGTTTGCATTGATCTAGTTTCACTTCTGATAACATAAGAAAAAATACAATTGCTTTCCATTTTTCAAGGCCAAATCTAAAGGAAGTTTAAAAAAAAAATCAAATACACACTTGTGCATGTATGTAACCTTCACAAAATTATCAAGCTTTCCCTCTCATTGATGGTTGGTCTCCAAGTTGGGAACCTGCCTCTTCTCTGAATCATTTCAACTTGAAACCTAATGAACACCAAGTCCCCTATTCAGGAAACTTAAGAATCTACAAATTCTACCTATTTTGTTTTATTCTGCTCTGTGTTTGAAATTACTATATTTCATTAAAATACCTCTTCATTTAATAAAATATTCCAAAATTAGATATATATGTATATAAAGTTCATAAAAACACATTCTTATATTCTGTAAATTGAGTAACTTACAGAACCACAGAAATTTACAGTTGAAATTGCCTTTAGCAACCATCTAATCCTATATCCTTCCTTCACTGTATGAAAGAGAAAAAAAAGGCCGGGTGTAGTGGCTCACGCCTGTAATCCAAACACTTTGGAAGCCCAGGCGGGTGGATCACCTGAGGTTGGGAGTTCAAGACCAGCCTGACCAACATGGTGAAACCCCGTTCATTATTTAAAAAAAGAAAAAAAAAAAAAAGAAAGAAAGAAAGAGAAAAAAAATGATGTCCAGGAAAAGCTAACTGATTTTGTTTCTCTGATGGTGTGATAAAATGGACATGAGCTTTAGCATCAAACAGACCTGGGTTCTGATTCAGGCCCAACATTTATAAGCTATGTGACTTTGAAAAAATCATTTAAATTTCTCTGAACCTCAGCATCCTAATATGGAAAAAAGCAGTATTATCCTACTATTTGAAAGCACCTACCACATATCAAATAATAGTTTCTTTTGTCCAAAGTCAGGTAGCAAACCAGTAAGAGTGAACTGGTCTCCTACCACAGCAGTTCCCACTACACATGCTGCATCCTTCTGAATGAGAACTAGTTCTGGTGTATTGTCAAGGTCAAAGGAACAAGAAAATGACTGCATTCCTGACACTAGCAACTGTGTTTTATTCCATAGCAACTAAAGACACACTTTGGGGTTTAGGGGATTCACTCAGAATTAAACTATGAACTGAATTGCCTACTACAGGCTTGGGATTTTTATGAGGATGGAGACACATAAGACTTTCTTGCTCTGAGGCAGAGAACAGAAGAACCACAAAATATTAGCATACATAATCTGCAGACTGATCAGTTGTTTTAATTAATTTGCTTTATTGTGCTGAAAAAAAAAAATCAGTAGCGATAACCAAAAAAGAGAATGGATATACTTACAATGTCTGAAGATTGGAAAGAAACCTAAATACACCATCAGCAATATGAGTGACTCTGTTGTCTCCTAAATTCAATCTCTCCAATAAGCTCAGACCCACAAAGGCAGATTCATCCAGGTGGGTCAGCTGGTTATAGGACAAATCGCTGAAAACAGGAAATATGGAAAGTTAGGAATTCACTGTATTTTGGTTCAAATGAAAATTCTTATTATATCTACGTGGTAAATTTAGAGCTTTCTACAAATTTCTAGACAAGAGGGATGTTACATCTCATTACTGGCCATGGGAATGATTTATTCCAATCTGCTCTAGTCTCACAGCCTCGACTGAAATGCTATCCAACACTTACAGTTCAGATAGTCTTTGGCAGAACTCCCATGCATCAGGGCTGATTCTTTCAATAGCATTCTGGCTCACATAAAGCTGCTGCAACATTCGCAAGCCATACAACCACCCCTTGTTCACTCGTGTAAGGTTATTGTGTTCCAGTTCTCTGCAGAATTAAAGAGAAGAAAATACATTCCAAAACAAGGCAGTTCGATAATTATAGTTTTAAATCTTAAGTTTTTCCCAGAGAAGCATATATCTTTGTTTAACCCAACTGAGCTGACCAATTCTATTCAATAAAAATGTGTAACTTACTTAAGATTTAGTGCTAAAAGGTAGTAAGATTGTCTAAAACATCAGCTGTACAAAACCAGCAGGCCAAGTGCTATAGTATACCTGTTTGGATAAATTCCGTAATTTTCATTAGCAAAAACATTAAGAGAATATAAACTTTTTAGATGAGAAGTTTGTAAGAATTATTTCAAAAATTATCAGTTAGCTAGCAAAACTTTAAAGGTTTTGTGCATACTTATTTCACATCAGTCAGCAGGAAAAGAATGAACTTATCTCTTTATAATCAGAACAACTGTCCTAGCTATTTGGCATTGAAAAGCTCAGACAGGCAAAGGCGTGGTGGCTCATGCCTATAATTCCAGCACTTTGGAAGGTCAGGAGTTCAAGACCAGCCTGACCAACATGAGGAAACCCCGTCTCTACTAAAAATACAAAAATTAACTGGTCGTACTGGCGTATGCCTGTAATCCCAGCTACTCATGAGGCTGAGGTGGGAGAATCGCTTGAACCCAGGTGGCGTAGGTTGCAGTGAGCAAAGATTGCACCACTGCACTCTAGCCTGGGTAATGGAGATAGACTGTCATAAAAAAAAAAAAGAAAGAAAAGAAAAGAAAAAGTCTCAGACAGACTTCTTTCCTAATAATCACTTCTAGTCTCAAGTACTTACAGTTCTTCCATGTTATTCAAGCCAAAAAATGCTCCATCCTTAAGTTTGCTAATTCCATTTCGCTGCATTTTCAAAGATCTTAAGGAGTCAAGCCCTTGGAATGTAAGACCTTCCACAATTTTAATTCTGTTTCTTTTAAGTTCCCTTTAACAAAAACAGTTTTATAGTCAGGAGATTGGTTTGCTGAAATGCTCTAACAGTAATTAAAAAGAAAAAGACCCTGTAAGAAAAAACTATCTTCTTATAATCCATCTATTTCGTTACTCACAAGAATTGGAGGTGAGGCAGCTTGAAGATCTTCGGTGGAATCATGCTAATTCGATTACGATTTAACTTTACCACTAATAAGGAACTCGATAAATTATCAAAGCAACCAGCCTCCAAGGTGGTTATCCTGTTATTACTTAAATTCCTAAAATAACAGCAAAAGAAAAAATTTAGTAAAATAAAAAACTCTACCACCAGAAAGCTGCCAAATATCTACGTCTGAGCCCCCAGCTTTATCACTTAATGACTATCCACAACTTCATAAATCATTGAACTGCTTTGTTTCTTCATCTACAAAATTAGAAGGCTACTTCATTTAAGTTGTTACAAAACAGCCTGTATGAATATGCTTTGTAAACTGGAAAACACTGGCATAAATGCTAATTATCATCATTATATATGGTAAGCCATTGTTTAACAAATCTCTATTTACCTTTTAGGAAACTTGGTTTAAAAAAAAACAAAACTGAATCTCAAAAATTACCCTGGACATCTGCCAATATTTTCTGACAATAGTGCAATTCTTTCTTTTGGGGGTTTGTGGGATGACTGGGCAAAGACGATACATCAACCCTAGGTTGTTTCACATATGCATATCAAAAGCAAAATAATTAACCAAATATTTTTTAAAAGATAGGTACTGACGAATAAAAAACATGTGCTTTAAAGTAAATCTAATTTAATCTATGTTACTTACAAGTATTTAAGCTGCATGCGAGGAAATGAAGATGTCTTGATTTCTGATATTATATTTGAGCTGAGGTCTAAACTCTCCAGGGCAGGATAAAACTGAAGCGCCTGTGCATTTATTTCTGGGATTATATTATGGATTCTATAAAACAAAGATTATATTGAAGCTGCTGCCACTAATCCACCCCAGGCCATAAGAATGTTAAATAATTAGAATCAACAATATATGTACTTTAAAAAAAGACTGTTTGCAAAAAAAAAAAAAAAAAAAGACTGTTTGCTATTCATATTTTAAGTAAAAGATTTGAAAACTTCTTAACTTACAATGAAAGTAGAGTAATATTAGATGTTGGTTCTCCAAAATATGGGATTTCTGTTAGTTCATTGTAATTCATTTTCCTAGGCAAGAGGAAAAACAGATTTAAATGTTTAGTGAGGGAAATATTACCTCTTGAATTCTACCTTCTGGCTAATACATACTCTTTAGAATAGGTGCCAAATCTTATGATTCAGAATGAGTTAGACTAAAATAAAAATGGCTGGGTACACTGGTTCATGCCTGTAATCCCAGCAATTTGTGAGGCCGAGGCGGGCAGATCTCCTGAGGTCAGGAGTTTGAGACCAGCCTGACCAACATGGAGAAACCCCATCTCTCTAAAACTAGGAAATTAGCTGGGCGTGGTGAAACCAGAAACCAGAAACCTCCCAGCTACTTGGGAGGCTGAGGCAGGATAATCGCTTGAACTTAGGAGGCGGAGGTTGCAGTGAGCTGAGATCACGCCATTGCATTCCAGCCTGGGTTACAAGCGCAAAACTCCCTCTCAAAAATAAATAAAATAAAAATGTATTTTTTGAGAAATTAGAGGTTTTAATGAGAAATGTATTTTCTTTTCTTTTCTTTTTTTGTTTTGGAGACAGAGTTTCATTCTTTTTGCCCAGGCTGGAGTGCAATGGTGCAATCTGGGCTCACTGCAACTACTGCCTCCCAAGTTCAAGTGATTTTCCTGCCTCAGCCTCCTGAGTATCTGGGACTACAGGCGTGCGCCACCACATCCAGCTAATTTTGTATTTTCAGTAGAAACAGGGTTTCACTATGTTGGCCAAGCTGGTTTCAAACTCGTGACCTCAGGTGATCTGCCCACCTCGGCCTCCCAAAGTGCTGGGATTACAGGCATGAGTCACTACGCCAAGCCAAGAAATGTGTTTTTATAGTATTGATCTACTACTGATATTAATATCAGAAAGGTTATGGAGTATTTTGCACATTAAATATTGTTAGCTCAAGCAAAGTTCTTTGAATAAGTTGGGTTTATGACAGCTGATCTGAGTCGTTAAACAAAGAAGGCATAATCAGTCCATCCAGATCTTTCTTTCTCTAAATATACATAAACATACACATACAAATGTATATATATTTTTTCTAAAGCTATACAAAGTTAGAGAGTGTTGAGACCACAGATGAAATTTAACAGCCCACCCAGAGATGGAATTATGACTAATTTTACAGGTAACACAACATGTTGCATCTGATCCCAGCAGCCTTTTAAACAGATTCTCTCAAAGGTTTTAGTAGCAAATCTTATACAATCACATTTCATTAATCTGGATTTTAGTCACTGAACAACCTCAATCTAGAACACAGAAAAGAAACCAGAAGTAAAGACATTTATTGCATGGACTTTGTAACTTTGGTTGGAAACTAAAACAACCAAAGTTACAAAGTCCATGCAATAAAGGTCATGCACTTCCCACTAAAGCATTTTCTGGCTTTTCCTCAGTGCCTACTCTTTCAACTAACTAACTTGTCAACTGTTTATTCACCCACATTTTAGAAGCAGTAAATCTGGGGCCAGGAGGAGAGAATGCAGAGACCAATGGGCATGCAGAGGTTACCCCTGTCAGCAAAGAATTACAAAGAAAAGTAAATCTCAGCTGGGCTCTGTGGCTCACGCCTGTAATCACAGCCACTTTGGGAGGCTGAGGCGGGTGGATCACCTGAGGTCAGGAGTTCCAGACCAGCCTGGCCAACAGAGTGAAACCCGATCTCTAGTAAAATGCAAAAAATTAGCTGGGCATGGTAGCAGGTACCCATAATCGCAGCTACTCAGGAGGCTGAGGCGGGAGAATCGCTTGAACCTGGGAGGCCAAGGTTGCAGCGAGCCAAGATCGTGCCATTGCACTCCATCCTAGGCAACAAGAGTGAGACTCTGTCTCACAAAAAAAAAAAAAAAAAGAAAAGTAAATCTCAGTGTTCCGAGGGTGTTAAGTGTAGAGGCAAATAGGCCTATATACCTTAACAGTTGTGCCTCTAGGAATGTTAACAATGCAAAAACTAATATTAATAATATCTTAGGAAACTCCCTTCAAAATTACACAATACATCTCAGTATTAAAGGAAAAACTTCAGTTAAGAGAAAAATTGAATTATATCAACCATCAGATTCTCAAATGATATCGAGAACACTCTATTTGATATAAATCTACTTTAGACACGATGCTCCCAATCTTAGATAACATGTCAAGACATTTTAAAAGTTTATACAGGCCGGGCGCAGTGGCTCATGTCTGTAATCCCAGCACTTTGGGAGGCAAAGGTGGGCAGATCACCTGAGGTCAGGAGTTCGAGACCAACCTGGCCAACATGGTAAAACCCTGTCTATCAAAAACACAAAAATTAGCTGGGTGTGATGGCAGGCACCTGTAACCCCAGCTACTCTGGAAGTTGAGGCAGGAGAATCGCTTGAACACAAGAGGTGGAGGTTGCAGTGAGCCAAGATCCAGCCACTGGACTCCAGCCTGGGCGACAAGAGCGAAACTTGATCTCAAAAAAAAAAAAGCGGGGGTTATACAACAGGCTGAAAACTTGGCCAAAATCAAAACATATGTACTCTGAAGACAGGTAAATCTTACTTTTAGCCCCAGGAAAGTAAAACATTTCCCTACAGCCTCAAACTTGACATCACCAAACCAATGCCAAGAGAATCTGTGACAATAACAAAGCCAAAGACAACATTTTAGGTTTTTAAATAATTTCTTTTTTTTTTTTTTTTTTTTTTTTTTTGAGACAGTGTCGCTTTTGTTACCCAGGCTGGAGTGCAATGGCACGATCTCGGCTCACTGCAACCTCCGCCTCCTGGGTTCAAGCAATTCTCCAGCCTCAGCCTCCTGAGTAGCTGGGACTACAGGCACGCGCCACCATGCCCAGCTAATTTTTTGTATTTTTAGTAGAGACGGGGTTTCACCACGTTGACCAGGATGGTCTCGATCTCTCGACCTCGTGATCCACCCGCCTCAGCCTCCCAAAGTGCTGGGATTACAGGCTTGAGCCACCGTGCCCAGCCTAAATAATTTCTTTTAATTAATTTTTTCCTTCAATTTTTTTCATGGCATCTCTGGATTGAACACTCCCCCCCAAGTCACAATTTATTGAGTTCCCTTAGGAATTTAACATAACTTTAAATAAATAAAAATAACTTACACTTCCTGTAATGCTTGTGATTCCAAGCTGATGTTCCAGTTGGACAACCGATTATGACTCAAATCCCTGAAAGAGGACAAAATATCATTCTTAGTATAGTGTTGGAAAGTAGACCTAAAGAAAAAAAAAACTAAATAGAAATACTAAAAGTCCTCTTGGCCAGGCATGGTGGCTCATGCCTGTAATCCCAACACTTTGAAAGGCTGAGACGGATGGGTCACTTGTGGTCAGGAGTTTAGGACTTGCCTGGCGAACATGGTGAAACCCTGTCTCTACTAAAAATATAAACATTAGCCAGGTGTGGTGGCACACACCTGTAATCCCAGCTACTCGGGAGGCTGAGACAGGAGAACTGCTTGAACCTGGAAGGTGGAGGCTGCTGTGTGCCGAGACTGTGCCACTGCACTCCAGCCTGGGTGACAGAGCAAGACTCCAACTCAAAAAAAAATTTTTTTAATTAAAAAAATAAAAATAAAAGCCCTCTTAAATGTGAATATTAGTATAGACAAACAAGAATGTTCATAAAGGATAAATAAAAATTAACCTAAATTTCAAAATAGCCATTTTACTCTGTGTGTGTGTGTTTGTGTGTGTGTGTGTGTGTGTGTGTGTGTGTGTGTAGCTTCTGAGTTTGGGAACACATTCACGTGGTCCAATAACCAAAAAGTGTAAAAGTATATGGTAAAAAGTCTTCTGCTTTTGTCTCCGGCCACCCAATTCCCGTTCCCAATAACAATAAATGAAAATATGCCAGTTTTTGTGTAGAATTCTGGATTTATGCATGTACAGCAATTTTTTACAAAAATGATGAACAATTTACACATTACTTTGCCCCTTGCTTTTTTCACTCAGTAATACATCTTAGATCATTCCATAGCAGTATTTAAAGAGTGTCTTTCTTCCCTGTAGTGATTATGTATTATATCTTAACTGTAAGTATATTTGAAGATACATTTCACAAGTCAAGATGGTAAGGTTCTGTATTAAAACTGAAGTTGACCACATCCATGATAGGGTAGGGATGTGGTCCTCCTTCGAAAAAAAAAAGGGGGAGTGGTGGGCAGGCATGGTGGCTCACACCTGTAATCTCAGCACTTTAAAGAGTCCAAGGTAGGTGAATCATCTGAGGTCAGGAGTTCAACACCAGCCTGGCCAACATGGTGAAACCCGTCTCTACTAAAAATACAAAAAAGTGGTGGCACACACCTGTAATCCCAGCTACTAAGGAGGCTGAGGCAGGAGAATGGCTTGAACCCTTGAGGCAGAAGTTGCAGTGAGCCACGATGGCACTACTGCACTCCAGCCTGGGTGACAAAGCAAGACTGTATCTCAAAAAAAAAAAAAAAAAAAACAGCAATTCACCTTTAGGAAAAGGCAATTAATCTTGTCCCAAATTACATTAATAATGATGATGGCATCGATAGCTAGCATTTATTAAGTGCCAGGCATTTTTCTATGCACTTTACACATATTAACTGGCTAAATCCACACAGTAACCTTATGAGGCAAATACTTTACTAATATGAAAACAGGTACAGAAAGATTACTAATTGGTCAATCTAAGGTCATACAACTAATAAAAGTTATAAATTTGAAATTTCACCTCACTTCTAGCAGTACTTTATTAGATACAGTAGAGATTTCACTGAAATTAGTCAAGTCTAAATAGTTAAGTAGGCTCTAAAAATTCACCTTGACACTTCTGGCATATTTACAAGGCTGAGGTGGAATCCAGCCCACACAAGCTGTCTGCCTAAAAGATGTACTATATGTTTCAATATGGCTAGCCACAGGGACATACTAGAGAAACATACATATCACTTTATCTCACTGTGCCACCACAGGCAGTTGACAGATGCATGCAGGTTTGAATGATGTCTCAATCACAGCAGAACAATTTGTTCTCAGCTAGATTCATGCCTGCCCATCTGTAAAAGCTAGCCACTTTCATTTAAGAGCTTAATTTATACCGTGATATAACTAAAGCTGTGTGTTAAACCACCTCTTTTCCACAATAGTTCTGAAGTTTTTATTCCAAGATGTCTAGCAAAAGGTATCAGCTCAAGGACACTCATGAATGGAAGAGGGTGTAAGAAAATATAAGATAAAAATATGGCCGGGCGCGGTGGCTCACGCCTGTAATCCCAGCACTTTGGGAGGCCGAGGCGGGTGGATCACGAGGTCAAGAGATAGAGACCATCCTGGTCAACATGGTGAAACCCCGTCTCTACTAAAAATACAAAAAATTAGCTGGGCATGGTGGCGCGTGCCTGTAATCCCAGCTACTCAGGAGGCAGAGGCAGGAGAATTGCTTGAACCCAGGAGGCGGAGGTTGCGGTGAGCCGAGATCGCGCCATTGCACTCCAGCCTGGGCAACAAGAGCGAAACTCCGTCTCAAAAAAAAAAAAAAAAAAAAAAAAAAGATAAAAATATGAATTCATTACACATAAAAATCTCATATTCAGATACTTCATCCAATTCATACTTGCTACTAAACAACAAACACATACACTTGTATAAAAATATATGTGAAAAGATGCTTTTTGTTGTTGTTTTGTGGTGTTTTGACTCAAGGAGAAATTCAACTGTTCTAATTTAAGTTAGATATTCTATATTCTACTCCAAGCTGGTTGGTCTGGCAAATGACAAGCCAGCATAGTATGATCTAATTCTGTATCTTGTGACTACTGTAACTTAGCAGTTTTCCACTTCCAGATTAAGGGCTTTCGTTTTAATCATAACAGTGTTCATAATGCCTTTCCCAAACCTAAATCTTCCTGGCAATGTAACTCTTGACTGTATTCACCCCCTAGAGTTCTCCTATGAAAGTCAATAATCATTGACCCATAGAATCATTTCTAAAGAAAACATTAAAGAAATTTAAAAAAATCTGAAGCAATAAAATTAAACTCAATTTAGACATTATAAATAACTTAGTAAACTGGGCACAGTGGCTCACTCCTGTAATCCCAGCACTTTGGGAGGCCGAGGCGGGTGGATCATGAGGTCAGGAGTTCGAGACCAGCCTGCCCAATATAGTGAAACCCCATCTCTACTAAAAATACAGGAAAAAAAAAAATTATCTGGGCGTGGTGGCAGGCACCTGTAGTCCCAGCTACTTGGGAGGCTGAGGCAGGAGAATCGCTTGAACCCAGGATGCGGAGGTTGCAGTGAGCGAAGATCATGCCACTGCACTCCAGCCTGGGTGACAGAGTGAGACTCTGTCTCAAAAAAAAAAAAGAAAACCACAAAACAAAACAAAACTTAGTATTCAGTATTAGTGAAAACTGCCCAGCGTCTCTGTTTTGGGAAAAAGTAATTTTCTCTTATCTTTGCAAAACCTATGGGCTTTTCAATGCAACCCAAAGGATACCTGAAATACTTTGCAGCCTCTGAAGCAGATAATGTTGTTGAAAGTATATATGCTTTCAAACAGCCTTATAGGTCAGAACCCTATATAATGAAGCTCTCTAGACCCTTCTAAAACAAACCCACATTTAATAAGATTTAAAAATACTAAAAGTAAATTGAAATATATTCCCAAAGCAGTACTATTATAAAAAGCAACTAATATACAGGATCAGTACAGCTGTTTGAAATTATCAAGTGCCTAACTAGAATTATATGAATTGATCTGATCGTTCATACAATAAACATTTATTGGACCACGTGCCAGGAACTGGTCTAAGTTCCAGGGCTATAAGCATTGTCAACTTTAGTAATCTTTTTCTTTTTCCGAAAGCAACACTTAACAGTCGTCAGAGGTGCAGTCACACCAAACTGTAAACAAACTGAACATCAATTCTACTATTTTCCTTTACTGCAAATGGTTAAATTAGCTTTTACACCTAATTTCACTCTGGAATTTAATCAAATGATGTGTGCACAGGAGTCCACAGACATACTCTTGCTCCTTTCCTATTTCTTTTTTTAAAAGTACCCCCCAAAAGACAGAAGACTAAAATATGTAGACTTCAGGGCTGGGTGCAGTGGCTCACACCTGTAATCCCAGCACTTTGGGAGGCCAAGGCAGGTGGATCACCTGAAGTTAGGATGTTGTAAACTCAGTTCCCACTCATGCTAATCTACAGAGATGTAGCTGTAATAAATGATGAATTATTAATGTCCTTGATATCGTGTGGAGCCAGAGGTGCCATTAATGTAGTCATTTAGTACCATCAGGAGTAAATTATTTATAGGATGTGCAAAGCAATCACAACAGTTAGAAGAAAAAATCAGGTTCAGCAAACAAAGTCCTACAGCAACAGAAACAGGGGTTTTCTTCTGAACACCCACTTATACATCTGAATCATCAACAATTTTGTTTTCAAGAATATGCAGCAATAACAGGCTGAACCAGGAACTTCAGCAACAAAACATCTGACAAAGAGGCCCTTTGTAAAAGTTAAAGGATAAGAAGGCCGGGCGCGGTGGCTCAAGCCTGTAATCCCAGCACTTTGGGAGGCCGAGGCGGGTGGATCACGAGGTCAAGAGATCGAGGCCAACCTGGTCAACATGGTGAAACCCCGTCTCTACTAAAAATACAAAAAATTAGCTGGGCATGGTGGCACGTGCCTGTAATCCCAGCTACTTGGGAGGCTGAGGCAGGAGAATTGCCTGAACCCAGGAGGCGGAGGTTGCGGTGAGCCGAGTTCACATCATTGCACTCCAGGCTGGGTAAGAAGAGCGAAACTCTATTGTCTACTATTTTGAGTATGACAGTGCTTCATTTAGCCAGAATAATTCAACCTTTCTGTGAATGGAAACCCTTGTCTTGTTAGAGTGTACCTAGCATAATTTAGTTTTAAAAATAATACTCGGCTGGCACGGTGGCTCACACCTGTAATCCCAGTACTTTGGGAGGCTTAGGTGGGCAGATCACCTGAGGTCAGGAGTTTGAGAACAGCCTCACCAACATGAGAAATTCCATCTCTACTAAAAAGACAAAATTAGCTAGGTGTGGTGGTACATGCCTGTAATCCCAGCTACTTAGGAGGCGGAGGCAGGAGAATCGCTTGAACCCAAGAGGCAGAGGTTGCAGTGAGAAGAGATTGTGCCATTGTACT